CCCTATGGCAGCCTCAGTTTAATTGTCTGGCATTGGGCTTTTTGCAGTGATGGCACACCTATCAAGAAAACAAAACAAAACAAAAACAAAAACAAAACAAAAAAAACTCCATCCTATTTCTGCAATACAAGCAGCGTGATTTCCTGCTAACTCTCAATGACCAGTATCTGCTGTTCCTTAGGGTTTCCTCAGACATATTCTGTGGTCTCGGTTTGCTGCCAAGTGTTGCACTGAGGCCTCTGCATTTTAAAGATCACAGGACAGCTCCTCTAATTCCCAGAACCTGCTGATGCTAATCATCCAAGTGGCCATTGGGCAAAGCAAACACACACTGGGCACTGTGACCACTGAGGAGTGTTTCTGCAGAATAGGGGCAGCTTGCAAATTTGGGAGACTTTCTACAAGTTTCTGTTATAGATTGTATCTTTTACTCGTATCAAACACCCTAACATATATTTTTAAAGAATATTCTTAGTTAACTCCCATCAACTTCACCAAACACACCCTTTTGCAATCAGATGTAAGAAACCAGGTAGGCAGTATTCATTGTGATTATAAACATTTCGTGGCTATTTCTGGTCCATGACACCATCAGTCCACAAGCTAAAAATGAAGCTGCAACACAGTACTTGGGCCGTCTTTCTGTAGAAATGTATAATTTAAAAGCTGCCCCGGCTTTAGAAAACTGTTGGGTGGATTTTAAACCATTAAGCTCTGTTAGTTTTAACTTTATCAGCATAAGAAGTTATCTCAAATATGCAGAACACCACCACACAGATCAATAGAATGTTGCTAGCACCCAAAAGACTTCAGTACTTCCGTAATTGTTTTCTCCTCTCCACAGGTAAACAGTACACTAGCATATGTTTCTTCCTGTTTTTAAACTTTATCAATGAAATAATACAACATGTATTTCTTCAAGTTCAGCATCTTTCTTTCACGGCATATTTGTGAGATTTATCATGTTGTTGCTTGTACTTGGTCTAATGCACTGATGTGAGGTATTTCATTATATGAATAGCCCATAGTTTCTTGATCCATTCTACATTTGAATGAAACTGGTTGTTTCCACTTCGGTGGGATTATGAGTAATTTTTTAGATCAGAAGTTTCTGGCTTGTTTTTTCTTTATAATTTGAAGAACAGTTTCCCAGTGTTCTCAGAATAGGTAGATATACTTAATGGGCTTTAATTAAAGTGACAGAGATGTAATGATATGTTAACTTGAGTGCTTAGTGTTGTATTTGTAATTTATATTTCAAGTTTAACTTCAGGATGATCACTTAAGGTATAAAGTATTTATTTGCCCAAAGTGTATCTATAATTAAAATGGCAATAGCTGAGAGAGGGTTTTCAAATAATAAAATATAATTTTTCTAAGAAATCAGTTTGTTAAAAATGGAACTCCCATTTGACCCAGTAATCCCACTTCTAGCACTATATCCCAAGAAATCAGAAACACTAATCAGAAAGGATGCATGCACCCTTATGTTCATAGTAGCGCAATTTACCATTGCTAAGATTTGTGAACCAGCAGATGAGTGGATTAAAAAACTGTGGTACATCTACACAATGGAATACAACACTGCTGTAAAAAGAAAGAACTCTTACCATTCTCAACAGCATGGATAGACATGGAGGACATTATGCTAAGTGAAATAAGTCAGAGAAAGATAAATATCACACGATCTCACTCATTTGTGGAATGTAATGAACATCATAAACTGATGAACAAAAATAGATCCAGAGATCAACCAAAGGACTTGTTTGTATGCATGCCTATAAGCAAAACCAATGGACACAGACATTATGAGGATGAAGATATGTGCTGGGGTGAAGTCAATGGGGGGAAAAGAAAGAGCTATGTAATACTTTAAACAATAACAAAACAAAACAAAAATACCAGGTGAAAAACCACCATTCTCTGGAGGGTTATCTTAATACCTTGAGATTCTGCTTCCTAGCAATTATAAACTGTTTGGTTCAAATAAACTCACTAAAATTTAAAAAAGAAAAAATCAATTTGCTAGATTTTTAGGATTTTTTTTTTAAAGTGTTGACTTCTCTGCCTGTAAAATGGCATACACTCCTAGATCAAATACAAGATACATTTCAATATCCTTTTTACAGCTAATGGGCTTCCAGTGATTTGATCAGAGCTATCAAAGATTTCACAATAGTGTTCAGCAACACATTAGAAAATAAATTTTTTGCAAGGTATTGGCCCCAAAATTTGGCTTCCAGAAATGTATGTAGAGGCTATAGTATATCTACCCTGTTTCCCCGAAAATAAGACATCCTCCAAAAATAAGACCTACTTACAGGTTTCCTTCTGCGTAAAATATAAGGCATCCCCCCAAAAAGTAAGGCCCCCCCTAGGCTAAACATGAGAGATTTGGTTCACTGATTCTGAAAGAAATGGAGTCACAAGAAATTCACCAGGAAATTCAGGAATTGGATTGTTATGATGATGTTCCAGAAGATGATGACATGATTGTCATTGAATAAATGAGTAAATTCTTTTAAAAAAATATATTTTATTGATATTTTACAGAGAGGAAGGGAGAGAGAGAGAGAGCTAGAAACATCGATGAGAGAGAAACATCAATCAGCTGCCTCTTGCACACCCCCTACCGGGGATCTGCCCGCAACCAATGTACATGCCCTTGACCAGAATCGAACCTGGGACCCTTCAGTCTGCAGACCGACGCCCTACCACTGAGCCAAACCGGTTTCGGCAAATGAGTAAATTTTTGATACTGAAGGATTCACAGTTTGTCTGATTTGTGTTGACTACTGTACTACCATACTGTATACAGGTAATGAATTTCCTTTATTTTCATTTAACAATAAATGTGTACTGTATTCTTCTTCATGGAAAAATAAGACATCCCCTGAAAATAAGACCTCCCTCTTTGGGAGCAAAAATTAATATAAGACACTGTCTTATTTTCGGGGAAACAGGATATATGTATAAGGAAAAAAATAGGATAAATGCACAGATAAAATGTCCAAGAGGAGTCATTAAGAAGTGTTAGTAAAAGCAGAAATAATCAACCTTAAATTGTATAATCCTTAGGTATAAACATAACAGAGCTGGTTCTTTAACTCAAACAACCAGTATTGTTGATTAAATGATAAACCAAGTACCCTGATACCCACCGGGGGGGAGGGGGTGCATAATGATCAAGACGGAGCCCTGGAGTTCGGTTCAAGACCGAGGCAAAGAGAGACCCTGGACTCACCTCCTCCCTCGGACTCTCGATTACAATCAGGAAAGATTTCCTCTGGAAAAAACCTGAAGGCTGACCAAGCAACTCCAACACATCAGGCAAACAAGAAAAAACACACATTTAAGTGGGCAGGAGAGGCTGGGGCCCAGTCTCACGATAAACTTCAACAACTCACCATCAGGAGGGAGCACAACACCTGCAGATTCCCCCTGAGGAATGAAGTGGATGCCTCCATCAAGCACCTAATTTTTAAGGCCTTCACCTGGGAGCTGAGTCCCTGAAACATGGGAAGCATTTGAAAACCAACAGGGCTGCTGTCCGGAGAACAGACAGGCCTGCAGGGCTCCCCAGCCCCAGGCCTGGGCTGCTCATTGCGATGACTTGGCTCATTTGCTCATATCAAAGGATTGGCCCAAGGGGCAGGCATCTCGTTTAGCACATCCGTTTATGTTTACTTGAATTACTAATGTATTTGGATTCAAACACAACTGCCCATGTACCCAGTCACGATTGGGATACTTGCCAGTCTCAGAGCCAGCAATAAACTGGCCTCAGCAGCACGGAGCAGAAGCAATGATGTGGAGGGGTCCTCAGCCCAAAGACTCTGCTGGCCACCAGCCGGTAGGGGAAGCAGGTCCCTCCTCCTGGCCCAGTCACTGCTCCAATGTGCAGCAGACCAGGGTCCTTCCAGAGAGCCCTCCTGCTCCCTGATTTTCAAGGACATTCTCCTCAGCAGTATGGCAGCCACACTACCACACACAAAATCCGTGCCTCCGCTAAAGGTGATATAAAAATAAGGTTAGAAACCAGAAACTATTTTTTTGTAATCTTCACCCCAACATATATTTAGGGAGAAATGAAGTAAGAGAATGAGAGAGAGAGAAACATTGATGTGAAAGAGAAACATCAATTCCCACATATGCCTTGCATCCCCCTCCTCTGTCTCCCCACTCCAGGATCAAATCTGCAACCTAGGGATGTTCCCTGACAACTCGAACCTGCAACCTTCTGGTGTATGGGATGATGCAGCAACCAATTGAGCAACCTGACCAGGGCCAGGGACTCTGTTTGTATAAAAAGTTCCAAATATCTCAAAAGTGGCAATGGCTACAACATGGAAGTGCCCACATTGGTTATTTTCTTTGTATCGCAGTATTATACTTGATTTTGATTATAATTCTGTCTACATTCCTTTTAAGGATATTTGTGTCTGGAATTTCTCTCATTTAAAGAAATCCCTTATTCAGGAGGAAGCCTTATATACCGTGTGTTTGTCAAAAATCACCGAAATGTACACTAAAAGCAGCAAATTTTCCTGTGTGTAACTATATAATTAAAAAAGGGGGGAAAGCAGGGGCAGAGAATATTAAGTGTATTAGAATGAATTTTAATAAGCTGTTGCAACCTATGCAAGAAACTTGGGTGCCAAATTTTAATGTGAAGTGACACAGAACCAACACATTATGAACATCCAAAAATCTGGGTTTATAATGGAAATGATGACAGCTTCATGAAATTAAATAGCACTCAATCACTAATTTTCTGTGAGGGTAAGATTAGTACCCTGCTGGGCTTATAATTTTGTTTTCTCTTTTTATGCTGTTCATGTGTAAATATTGCCAATTTCATTTGACACAGAAAAGGAAAACAACTTAATTTCGTTTCTAAGCTAGTGAACAACACAGAGACACCCTCGACATGAGGCGGTGCAATACAAGTTCCCTGGCAATGATTTAAGGGGAGGAAAAATCAAGCCATTTCAAATGTATTTGTAACAAGGAAACAAATTTATTGATTTTAAAAGACAAGACACCATTTCGTTTTGAAAAACACAAGAAAGCTAGCCTGAGTTCAAGTCTGAAATATTCAGAAAAATCCTACTAAGATCTTTAGTATGTTCCAGTCATTTGTTTAAACAACACACTAAAAGTTAATATATATTTTTATAATTATAAAAGTTCCCCAGTTATTGTACAGTACACAATACAAATCGCCCACAAACTATTATTTAGCTCCTGCCAATCTTGAAAGGACATGATATACTAAAAGATTTAGCATTTCTCACAAAAATCACATCAGGAAATACGTATTTACAAAATCAAATACATTATACAAAAAACCATCACATGTTATTCGGTAAAGATGTTTTGTTTTTTTTTTAAATAATTAAAAAGTTTATTCAACTGTAGTCCAAAAACTGGAAAAGAACATTACATTATCTCACACATACAATCTCTACAAAAGTTGCTTACCTCATTTACATAATATATTCAGTCGATTGTAAAATAAATGTTCAGATATCTCCTAGTGTTACTATGTTTCTGTGCTTGTGGGACTGAATAATGAAATCTGCCACTTACTAAGTGAAATTTAAATGATGGCACTTAAAATAAAAACCACAGTATTTTAAAAAAACACAATGAAAGGAGTTTTACCTAGAAGGTACGAAAGCCCTGAGTGATAGTAGAATTACTGATTGGTAAGCACTACAATGAACCTAATTAAAAGTTTACCACCCCAGGCACAAATTTCCCAGTTTTCTCAAGGCACTCACTTGAAGTTTCTGTAACCAACACCTTGGTCACCACCGTAGATCCCAATTGATGATGCAGATGAGAAAGAAATTTGCTTTGGTACAAAAGATGCTTTTTAAACGCATAAAATTCAATACCTCCTTTATTGGGTCATTTAAAATTGTGTTTAGCAGGTTAAAACAAGGCAATCATTTGTTCAAAACTATTAATTCATTGAAGGAAAAAAATTTACTTGTCATTAACAGTCAATGGGGGGTTTCTACTTTTTTCTTTCCTCCCCAGAATCATAATTCCTCTAACAAAGGTTTGTTGTCCTCATTATTGAGCTACATAAACAATTCTTACCAAAGATTTCATTACTCAGGGCTTCCAATCCCAACATCATAATTTATTTAAAAAACAAAGGAAAGAGGGGAAAAAAGAATCAAATACCAGAACCAATAAGAGACAAAACACACTTTTTTTTTTTGAAAATGACATATTACCAATTAGTTCAAACAAAAGAAAAAAAAAAAAATCCTAGGCAGTCACTTTGTAAGTGGCTTTTACTATTTAAGTAAAATTGGTAAACTAAACTCAGGTCTACTGGCACATAAAATCACTAGCAGCAATGATCAGAGCATGCAAACTGAGAAGCATTTACAGTAAAATCATCATGAAGAATTCAAAAGAAGAGAGTTAAATTAAAACCCTTTGAGTATTGCATGTTAACACATGAGTAATTTGCATGGTTTGACCTCCTAAACTGCCTAAAAGGCAACGTTTACGGCAAACTCCCACTAGGCCACGGATGTCCTTTCACCAGGCATTGGAATAGGCTACGCTTTCCTCGGTGCCCGGCAGGGGCATCGCGAGCACATCTGCGGGCCACGCTGCTCTCGTGTTCCACCAGGCGGGGGACAACGGAGGCAGTGCACGCAGAGTGCCCGGGAACAGAGTCAGCAACTGCGTGAGCAGAACTGGCCTTTGCGGGTTATCAGAAGCAGTAGTCATAGCATCAGATGAGCTCCCATCAAGTGCTTTTGCTCTCCCTTCTACCTCTGTGTAATTTTTTGACAGAGTATTAACGTGTGGAGCACAGATAAAAGTATGCCCTGTATGCAATTCCCAAACAATGTGTTGTGAGAGATCTAACTCCAAACAGCTTACCTGCCCCCAGAGAGTTCAGCTTTTCTTTAGCCGCCCGAACTCCTGTCTTCCTAAGGCTTCACTTGCAATTGTACTTTCTAAAGCTAAATAAATGAGATCGCTCGTTGTGTTTCTGGGGGGAAATGGAACCCTTTCTTTATCATACCTTTTAAAGGCAATCTGGGTACTTTCAATGTGCAGAAACCGGTCTGGCATGGGCCCCCGGGCCCAGGTGTGGGTCCTCCTTTCCTAGAGTCATGCTGGGATACTAGAAAAGTTGATTCTTTTTTTTTTTTTTTTTCTGTAAACAGTACACTTACTTAGATGGCAGTGAATATTTGGGAATAAATATATCAAGCCCTCTTGAAGAAAATTAAGAGTCGTATATAAAATGCAAGTGTTCGGCATGAGAACACTTTCTCTTCCTACCCCCCCTTTAAAAAAACCAGCATAATTAGACATTTGGATATAGAGTATATTTTACCGGTCTAAGTCTAAATAAAGGATCTGAAAGGCTTTTGTCCCCCATTGTATATCTTACAATGCTCAAAGGGTTAATACAAGGCATTACATCCAAGGGTTTCTAACACTAGAACTAAGCACTGAATTAATGCTTCTCTTCCAGTCTTGTTTTGTTTCTTAAATCATCAAACTTGCAGAAATACTAGGGTTCCATTAATTGATTTGTTCTAACCACATACATGGAGGTTGACCTGATCTAGTGACAAGCCCAATTTTCACTGCATGTCAACCTCTCTCCCCGATGACCTGTGGGATTCATACAAATCACAGGGTTTGATTTGATTGTTTTGGTGGTTGTTATTGTCTCATCGAGAATTTGGGGAAGGGGAGGTCATCATAAAGGTCAATCTTTTTTTTTTATATAACCACTGCCTCAGATTGTACACAAAGGTGACTTGCCAACGTTGTTTTTTACTTTTTACTTCTGTCCACACAGGGAGGACCAGCATCAGAGTGACACACATCTTTTTTTTTTTTTCTTTTTCTTTTACACGAATGTTTCAAGCACAGCATTATTTTAGACATCTCAAATATATCATTTGAAGGATTTTTTTAAACTTTGAAAATGCATCACATTTAGCACTTCTAGCGAGTGCATTCATGTAAAAAGGTTCATGATTACAGTAATGAAACCTCGTTCATTCCTGAATGATTTTGACAGCATTCTACAAGAACATGTTCATTTTCACTCGTTTACTACACATCAATGGCAGTCAACGTTGCACACTACTAATTTTAGTTTTGCAGTGTTAAAACCATTTTCTAAAATTTATTTTTGTTTTTAAAGTACACCATCTAAAGAGAGGTGCGTGAACCGTGCTGTACAGTACAAGAAAAAGCACAAAAAGGAAAGCAGATTTCTGAAAAGGCAGTAAGACTTATACAGTCAGTCTAAACAAAGTTTGGATGAAAATCCTGAAAAAGTGACCAGCCACTTAATATCCAAAAAACAATTTTAAACCGGGTCCAAGTGGATAGTTCACCCATTTCACCCTATTGTTCATGGGCTGTTGTAATGCAAATCTTTTTGAGATGTATACTAGTACATGAAGATCAAACTCTGCTACTGATACTTGATCCTATTTAATGGAAATAGCTTTTCTGAAAATTAAAAATAGCCAACATTTTCCTCACTGACAGTTTATCATTTACTTGGTCTATAGAGATATTTTTCAGGACTAGTGTTTGATTAGAGTGCCCCAAAACATTTAAGTACTTAAAATATGTCCTGGTCATTTATCAATAAACCTATTGTTATTAGTGTCTAATGTTATTTTAAAAAGACAGTTTCAGTGACTAAAAAAGGAAATAAAATGTTTAATAAATGCAATATACGTGGTTGCTCCAATTTCTTCAAAGGTATAAATTATGAGGCTTTTATTTTGTAATACATTTCACAACTCAAGTTCAAAATTGTTAAAATTTTTGTTTGTGATTGTATATGTGTGCATGTGTCTTAGTGTGGACTACAAATAATAGGAAGTAGCATAGATTATAGATATTATTTGTCTATGGGTTATAACTATCTATACTTGTCCACAAAGAATTTATGTTCCTAATTCATAAAGGAGATCAGAACATTTTTAGTGAGTCAAGTTGAAAGATAATATTAATTCCCAATCTGTGTAAATTTAGAACAAACCATGAACAATGAGAAGAAATGTTGAACCTTAGAGGATCCCCAGTCTCCAATTTTCATTAATCTAAACCTGCCCATTTTTATCAGATTCCTCTAACAAAACAAATACACCCAACATTAAGTTAAAGGAAACAATGATAATAAATATATTTAAAATTGTTCAATAAGCAAGATGATACCAGTAAATACATTGGTTCAATACAAATATAGCATAAATCTCTGTGTGGAAAATGAAAAATTAAGAAAGAAGAGTCAAACCCAAGAGTGTTTTTTTTTATTTAATTTTTTGATTTAAATGTACTTGTAATGTTTCCTAATGCACAATGAAGTAGATATACGGTCTTTGCAGCTTAAGGTGTCTTGCTTGCTTGCCTGTGTGTGTGTGTGTGTGTGTGTATGATGGTACAAATTCATTGCCTTTTAGGGAGTAAAAGGGGGATAATTATTTAAATGGTATTTAGATAAAGGTGATAAGCTAGCAAAAGACTTTTGAATATATGAGCTGATAATACAAAATTTGAATCAATTAAAAAATTACATCTAAATCATTTAACGTTTACTGAAGAAACCTGTTGATCTCAGTTATTTGAGTAGTCTAAGGCAATTGAGCAACAACAGTTGAGATATACTGCATGTTACCCAAAAAGCCATTTGGTAGATTTAACTTTACAGATTGGCTCACCCTCTTTTTTCCACCCTCCACCCTTACTCCAATAAAACTGGAAAGATAAACATCTTGAATTTAATATAGGCCTCATTAATAATCTGTAAATAATTTTGTGCTTTCCCTTTTTTTGGCTTTCGGTACTTATTTTTACTTATTAGCTTTGTAAGAACAATTTAAATGAACGGATGTGTCTGTTTGTATTGTTGTAAATAACTTGAGTGCTTAAAAGAAGCTTGGCTCTTCATGTAAATTAAAATGGGGATGGTGTATCTACTCCTGGATCTCACCTGCCTTGATAGCTGACTCTGCCCGTGGGCACTCGTGTGTGCACGTGGACACAGACAACAAGACACACAGACAAACACTGAGACGGAAAAGATGCACTTCGATAAGTACCTACTTACTTTAGCTTTCTTAAATTATAACTAGATAAGAATGGTCTGACATATATATGTTTTATGTAACAAGTTGGTGATTAAAACTAGCCTGCTACTCTATGCCCTTAAGCAATCTGAATTATAATCAAGTATCATTCAGCTCTAAGAACAAAAAATAGGTTCATGGTCACTAAAAGAGGGAAACTGATTCTTTTGTCTTTTTGTTTTGCCCTAAATTTCCTTTGAAGAACATGTAACCTGTCCTTACTTCGGGAATCTGACAATGACAGGCACAGCTTGTCAAATGGACTGAAGAGGAATTTACAGGAACAAAATAAGCCTTACTAAACCTTAGCTTCAGTTCTGTTTTAAGGCACCATGTTATAGCCGAGGTACGATGATCCCTGATGTACATTCTTCAACGGCACCGGTCCATCCAGCCGCCTATCCGAATCCTACAGAATCAGGGATAAGCAACAGTATGGTGTGCCAGTGACACTGCCTTCAGGTTCTGTTTAAAATTTAAATCCACGTACTTTAGAAACCAGGAAATATTTTTGAACCAAAGAACGATATGCAGGTTGCTACATTCCTTGCATTCTATAAATTTTCTCTTATAATAGCAGCATATTGAACTACTATTAGGAAAAAGACCTGGAATAAAAGAAAGTCATCCAAATGGAATGGTTTCCTGTATGTCCAGCTCAGCATAAGTAGCATGTACACTTAAAAAAAAAAAAAAAAGTCAAGTCATTTTTTTCAGCTTCAGTCTCTAACTATAACAGCCCCACTCAACAGCAGAACGCATCTGTGCAGTGGTCCCAAATACAGAATCAGTAGTCATTACACAGAGGAATTGGTATGCAAATAACAGTTAAAATTCAATGTTTAACGGAAGCTTGCATTAACAGGATTTAATAATTATGTACACAAATTATGTACATATTAGCATAATCTCTGGCAATTCTGTCATTTACTCTGAACTGATAAATGCACAGCTCAATTTTTCTTCAGAGAAATATAGATGACCTTCCCAACCCTCTAGCACTATCATAAAAATGCTCTGTATTCTTTCTCCATACTCCAAAATGCTATCAAAATAGTGTCTTGTGGTTCTGCCCAATGAAAAGCACCTTTCAAAAGCAAATTTGATGCATCTGCTGCCAAATGGGCATGCCTCCAGTGTAAATAAAAAATGCATTTCTTTTGATATTTCACAGAAGTGCATCTAATTAAAAACTCACACATGAAATCATACACCAAGACTAACAATCAACAATAAAATATTTTCAGCTACAAAAATGTAAATTACTTTTAATTATAAGAAAACAAAAATATTAAGTGTTGTAAAAATCCTTCTTGACACCCGAAACTAAGGGGAAAAAAACTCTTATTATTAAGAGGCAAATAATTTGTTTACAAAAAAAAAAAAAAAAAAAAAAAAAGACCTGGCAAAATACATACACCCATTCCATTTCACAACTCCAAAAAGGTAATGTTCAGCACAGATAGAATTTGACAACAGCCGACCTTCAGGCTTATTAATTTCTCAATTGAAGCCCAATATCAACAGGGTTACTGTTAGCTGGGAAAATACGCTTTAATATTCCTTAGACCGCAGTGTAAGTGTTGCCTGTGGCGCTGCACTGCCGGATAGTCTGAGTGCTCGTGACGATGTGCTCGCTGTGGATGGGGTTCAGCAGGCCGGGCTGCACGCTGCTCTCCAGAACAGGCTGCAGACAACCCACCGGGAACGCCGGGGTCAGCTCCGTCTTCTCTCTCTTGGCTTGAGGTTCTGAAGAGTCATCTAGTTCTTCGTCCATTTCACTTTCCACTTCACTGCCTTCATCTGCACAAACAAGCAAAGCCACGACTATTACCAAAAGACATGCTTTGGAAAACGGCAATGAACACGTGCTTAGAAACACATTAATATGGAGCATCAGGAAAGCCACTTCTCAGCACTTCTCCAGGACGGAGCCTGTAGGTTTCCCGGAATCTCCTGTGGATTGTGCTTGCATCAAAGATCAGTTAATGAACCCACAATTCCTTCAAACCTGGTAAAGGTAGTCTATTTGGGGTTAGTTTTTTATTAATACTTTTAATAGCTCCTTTAAAAAGTCCTTTGGAATTTCCTCATGTTTTTGTATTAAATAGTTTGGCATAATTTGTATCAACAAGAAGTAGGCACTTTAATACACTGTTGGCGTTTGGGGAATGTATTGAGGTGAAAAATGCTAACTAAAAAAGGAGTAAGGGAGGGAAAGGAGGAGAAAAACTTCAATCTCCTCCAAAAATCTATACTTAGATACACATTTTATGTGTTGATATTAGTGTTGGTGAAACTGATGATGACACATGTCAGGTATAAGCATGGGTTGCTATAAAGACTCTTTGGTGAACATGAATATTATAGATGACAATTAAATAGGCTCTTAATTTTTATTACAAAAGGTTATAAAGACTGAGGCAGTAGTATCAGATTAACAGTGCACAATGGATTTCCATTCCTGGCAATACTGATATTCACTGTTAATACTGGTATTCATTTCTGGAAATTAAATGTATTAAATAGTCACTGGTCTCATTACATTTTATATGAACTAAACTCTTATTATTAAGAGACAAATAATTTTTTTAAGTGGAACACCATTTAATGTTTTCAGGAAACAGTTAAAATTCAAAAGTAGGGAGAGAAAAGACTCACACAGCTTAATTGCTGTGAGAGATTCCCTTCTGAGGAGTATAGAGCATGCCTTTCCATGAGTGGTCACTTTTAAACAGTGGGGAATATATTTTTGCCTTAAAAATCTTTTTAATTCATCTTTGACATGTTTTACTGTTTACAAAAAAAGAAGAAGATAAAAGGTGTAATCACATCAAATATCTCATCTATAATTAAATTATATCTACACTTGTTACATTTTTACTTCAGTGACTTGTAGAAACAGGGCCAAATCTTCATGTTATTCTCTTCCGTCATGTACAAGTAGCTCTTGGGTCAGATTAAGTTGAACTCCTTCTAAGGTTGAGTCTAGTGTTACCACTTGGAGAACGCCTACCACAACCCCCCTGTCAATGCGGCTCTCCACATAAATGGGTCCTGAAGGTTCCTCTCTTATTATCAACTGGGGCAAAGATGGTTTTTATAGGATTTTTTTTTGCTGCTGTGTGCTCTATTCCAACCTTCCTCCTCCTCACAACCGCCCTCTCCCTCCCTCCCCCCTAATCACTATTCCTTTCACTCTTGCTCTTCAATTACAAATTAGTATCATCTCATAATTGATTTATCCTTCTGAGGGTTATTTGGTTGAACCTATAGAGTGTATGTATGTGTGTATATATATATATATATACACACACACACACACACAGCAACAATATTTTGGGGCTATCATTTTCTACTTTTCCTGCTTTGCTACTAGGTATGTTCCTTTAACAGGAATTAATACACCCACCATTGCCAGAGACTGACAGGAATTCAACATGGGAGTGACCTGGATTCAAAGGTGACCTTCCCTGGCACATTAATGTTTTCCACCGCCAAGGAGGGACGGAAGTTGGACACTGAGTGCCCTAGGACAGGCTGCTCTAGAAAACAGCACTGCCCTCATGTGCGATTCCCCAAGTCCTTCTTCTTGTCTTGGTCTTCCCACTGGTTCTGGCTGTGTCTTGGAAGGGCTACTTGTGCTATTCTTCACCTGATTTTGTGCGTTTTGTCTCTCACTCCAGAACTCAATTCTATAAAACCTCAAGCTATCTTCACTTGTTTTTGTTGTTGTTTTTTGTTTTTGTTTTTTTTTGTTGTTTTTTTAAGAAAGGTCTACATGTTCTATGGTGCTTGTTTATTAGAAATTTTATATTTTTATAAAACCTGGGCTGGTTTTCTGTAGGATATTTACTGCTGCTGTGTAGTCTATTTCAGCCTTTCCCATGCCACCCCCCTCTGTGGTTTGGTAGATCAAGAGTTTCTTCAGGAATATATGTCCTATTAGCATATTAGAGTGGTAAGGCTGGTATAATAATTTAAAAAGAATGTATGTCATCCTTTTCATCTATACCATGATTGATCTTGCTTCTACAGTAAACATCACAGCTTTCCTAAGTCCCTTTTCCATCGAGAAGCGTGGAGTGGAGATAGGTAGGCTGAGGAATCTTTTTTTCCTTGCCTGATAGGCCTTGAATACAGATATTTAGACCAACTTTTATGCCTTTTTTTTCTAGGACTCTGTAGATGGTCAGAACTTATAACGAACTTATAATGAGCCTGTAACTGTGTTTAAATTTATTTCTTATACTTAAGGTACCTCACTTAAAGATAGGACGGAAATGGAGAAATAATGAAGGATTCCGAAGACATCACAGCCATAGTCACCTCAGATTGCATGCCATTTCCACAAAGTAGGAGTGCCAGAGAAGATACACTACATTTTCCTCTGTGAGAATTTCCCAGTCAAATAAAGTCCTTAAAAAATGTACATTATTTTAAATTCTTACCTTTATCCAGATTTCCAGGAGACACAGCATTTAAATCGCCAAACTGCAAAACAGGCATTTATGTAACGATTACTACCAGGCTGAATAAAAAAAATATTCTCAGTCTGCAGTAAAAACACCACACTGTGGCTTTTTAAGACTATAAACTAGTGACCGTTTTGCTCTCTAACTACATAGGTCATGCAATTTTTCAATCAAACTTGTCGAATTTGAACACTTTGAATTGTGTCACAATTTAGCTGTCTTAGTCTCCTTGCAAAAGGCTACCAATTTTCTCTGCCTTCACACTCCATTTTACTTTTATTATTTCAACGCAGCAGCAAGGAAATAGGGGCCTGACAGCCTGGCCCAGCCTAGACATGGTGCAATCAATGCGGAAGGGCCCGATGAAGCGGGCGCACCCTCCAGGCCCACACCCAGGCCACATCCAAGAGTCCACCTGGAGTTTACATGAGAAAAACATGGCCCAGCTGCTTTGTTTTTCTGTTGGAATTCTGTTTTTCAAGTTTTTATTAGCTGAAATGAAAAACATAATGGGAGCCTCAGAGTTGAGAGTATTTACTTTTATAAAAAGGCTTTTCTTTTTGTAAGTTGCTGTTCTTATTTAATAAGATAATAGGGTTCCACTTTTAACAAAGGCATCTGATCGTTCTGAATGCCAACCAAACAGAGCTTAAAGTAATATGGAACAAGGTCTAATCTTCAGCTTAGGCTTTATTTTCTACCTCCATTCCAGAGCTTGATGATAATTTTACAATGGGATAATACATTCTGAGAGACTCGGGGTGGACAAAGATGAACAAAATATACTAAATAAAAAATTGAGGAGCAAAGTTAACAAAGTTAATCAGAAAATGGTGAAGTAAAACCTAAATCCATCCAATTTTTAAATGGAAAACATATATTTTTTAAAGCTGAATATTCAGAATAAGTTATTCAAAATTCAGATTTCTCAACAGACTCAGGGTGAGACAGAAATTCTACTTACATTCGGAAGTTTGCTTATAAAGAGTTCCATGATAGAAGTATTTTTTTCATCTACAAGGTTTATCTATGAAGTAATAAAACTGATCTTATTTTGCAAACATATACATTTTTTTTTTTTAACCTAAACATGTGCTGTTCTAATAGTAGCTACCTTGGGAGTTTAAACACTTATTTCAAGGTCCAAAGTTCTGTGATTTCTCTTTGACACTTTCAAGAGTTAGTTTACATATTATTCAAGAAAACTCATCTTATTATTTTACATCCAGTTGTAACTCCAAACAGCCTTCCAAATTTTATTCACTGCAGTTGGTGCTGGGATGATTTCTGACTACTCACCAATATCAAATTCATCTTTCACAATCTATGATATATTCAGAATAATGTCATTTTAGTCTTTATTATTTCTTAGCAGTTCAGAGACAGTTTGAAAAGAGGCATTCCACAACATTTTATGTCAGAATAGTGTTACTGGAACAATGTGCAGCTTTCGATGTGACTGATTTGAAGGGGACAAGGGCCTCCCTGATACATGGCTCCTAGTACGTTTATTAGGAAGACCGTCCCATCCATTACTTTACAGGTACATCTCACAGGGAAACAAGTATAAAATCATAAACACTATACTGCTGTTTTAACATCGGTCCTGATCACATGGGTCAGAACCCTATATTATCCAAAATAAAACATTCAGAGTGAAAGTTATATAAAATTTCTTAAAGAATACAAGCAGCAACAAAAATCAATGAGGCTATATTTTTGGTATTATTTAAAAATTTTAAAGCTATAAACAGAGAATGCCTAAAACTAAGGGATCTTTTATAATTTATATCTAATTGATATGAGATTTTAATTTATTTGAAATAAATACTTAACACTTAAGATTCAATTTTTGAAACTAAAGCCAGGGGTGGGGAATGTTGGTCCAAGTGCCTCATAAGGCCTGCATAATCATTTGGTCTGGCCTTGCCCAGGCCTTAGGGAAAGTTAATTAAATGATTGACCAAATACAGCAAGCTAATTTTTAAGCTGATAAATTTGTATGGCCTGAGAATGATGTTATACATATCCAAATGGATCTTGTCAGAAAAAAGGTTCCCCAACCCTATTCTAAACATACCTCTATACCTATGAAAAGTGAATATTCCATTTGTTTTTGACAAACCTCTAAAAGTTTTTGGGACTAAATTATTATTGCCACTAATGAACAATAATCTACACTAATAAAAGAGAAACATGCAAATTGACTGTACTTTCGTGACACCCACCAACTAATCAGGAGTATGCAAATTAACCCAACAAAGACTGCAGGTTAATTTGCATATCAGGAACCACCGCAGCTGCTCAGGGCCTCTGGGCAGTGTGGGAAGGCAGAAAGGAGGCTCTGGGCCAGTGCTAAGGCAGTGCCGGCAGCCAGGGGAAGAAAGGCCCATTCTTGCACGAATCTTCGTGCATCAGGCCTTTAGTATGTATTTCCAAACAATTTTATTGAAGACTTCTAAGATGGCCTCGATTTCTGCCAGTGACTTCACAAATTCTGCCCCCCAGTGACTATTTGTCCTGCCCCTTGGCCATGTGCTGTTGGCCACTCTGTACAAGGTAGCATATTTTCATCGTGATTCTAACTGTTGTGGCTTTTTTGCACTCCTCTGCCCCCTGAGAACACAGTAATAAATGCAATTGTGTACCTTTATATCATTTCAAGTGAGTAAGAATACAGGCCTTAGTTGCTTTAGAGGAGAAAAGTATTCTCAAAAATAGAACATGTAACACTACCATTAGGTCAAACCAAGAGGCCTAGTCCTGGACCCCACTCCGTAGAGATCCTTGCCCTGGCTTTCCTGTGTTTGCGCCCTCCTCATGATGTGAGAAGCCAAGTGGGCCAAGTGGATGTACCCTCTGGGGTCTGGGTTCCCCTTCCAACTCCTAGAGCATAATCCTATTATCCGAGACCCCAGAGTTCCCTGCCCAGTGACCCTGAGTCCTTTCTATGCCTGTGTCGGTCTCTTCTCCAAGTCTACCAGTTAGAGGAAAGAAGACATAGCCAAAGAGGGGCAGCTGTTTGCAAAGAGTGGGCAAAATCTGAACATGGACTGAGGAGTCCACAAGCATGAGCTCAAGGCTGGCTCTTCATAGCACAGATGGGAACGAAACGTTAAGAGAAGGTAAGGGTCCAGGGCCAGAGTCTGGGCCAGGAGCAGGCGGTGTCTTGGTCACCACTTTCTGGCATAGAATTAGGAGGAGCCAGAGAATTTTAAATTTAAACTCAGCCTTCCAAGTTGTTACCAAGATACATTTATCAACCGAGGTGGACAGAATAGCTTTACTTATAGTTGCTCCATAACTTTAAAAATATTTAGACATAAGGGTGTCCGAGGCCCTGCAAATATCAGGGTTGGGCCTGCCAGTATATCCTTTATGGAAATAAGGTTGGAAATAAGGAACTTTGGTGCTCATTAAAGCCACTTTCAACAAGAAACCACAGCATTAATTTAATACAACACACAGGTACTCCTTAATTTTGATTATATCACCTCTATTTTTTACACCCCAAACCCCAATGAAGAGACCATGGGGTTTGGGGTGTAAAAACATGCTCTTTCTATACCAAAAAAACTTTTACAACTAGCATACTCTGAATGTCTATTAACAACAAGTGGAAAGGAGATGGGTGGAGGACTATCATAATGCACCCTGCAATGCAGAGAAAAGAAGCCTAGAAGAAAATAACGAAAGCTTACCGGGTAGCATCCGGTTTGTATATGACTGTGAGTGTGGGTGCTTTGCAGGGAGCTGTATTATATGGATAAAATAAATTAGTCCCTATTCTGGATCAGTCTCCAAACAATTTATATGGTGAAAAATTAAAATATGGATTGAGGCCATCTGAGTGAGAAAGTCCTACTTTCTCCAGTTAGTTCTACCACTTGTTAGTTCTGATTTTGGGCAACTTTCCACCAAAGTTCCTCATCTCTTGTAAGGTTATGGTGAATATTAAATGAGAGTGTAAAACACCTAGCACAAGGCCAGTCCTCAATTAAAAATAATAAATAGTTGTATTATAAATAACAATGTATTTTTGACTAGTGCACATTATATTTTCCCAGCTACTACTGTTCCAAGACAGTTTCCTTTCCTGCAAGTGATTTTTAGCTAGCACTATGATTCATGCTTTTAAAAATAGTCTGTAACAAGTCTACTATTCCACAGGTACATTATCTGCGTATTTCCTCGTTGCACTAGAATAATGTTCACTGAAGTTAATTTTTTTTAGTTTCCATTGGTTTTACTTTGAGCATCCACCCTTATGGCAAACTGCAGCTCACAAGCCACATGCGGCTCTTTGGCCCTTTGAGTGTGGCTCTTCCACAAAATACCACAGCCTGGTCTAGGGAAGTGGTTTGCAAACTCATTAGTCAACAGAGCCAAATATCAACAGTACGATTGAACTTTCTTTTGAGAGCCAAATTTTTTAAAACTTAAACTTCTAACACCACTTCTTCAAACTAGACTCGCCCAGGCCATGGTATTTTGTGCAGCCATTGTGGAAAACAGTATGTGGCGTATCCTCAAAAAATTAAAAATGGAACTGCCATGTGACCCAGTAATACCACTTCTAGGAATATATCCCAAGAAAACAGAAACACCAATCATAAAGGATACATACACTCCTATGTTCATAGCAGCACAACTTATAATAGCTAAGATTTGGAAACAGCCTAAATGCCCATCAATAGATGAATGGATTAGAAAACTGTGGTACATCTACACAATAGAATACTATGCTGCTGTAAAAAAGAAGGAACTGGAGAGCAATACGCTAAGCAAAATAAGCTAGTCATTGAAAGATAAATACCACATGATCTCACTCATTTGTGGAATATAAAGAACATTGTAAACCGATGAACAAAAATAGATACAAAGATGCATCGACTGTCAAACTATAGCGGGAAGGCAGGGGAGGGTTGGGGGGCTAAGAGATCACCTGAAGGACTTGTATGCATGCATATAAGCATAACCAATGGACACAGACACTGGGTGGGGGGGTGTGGAGACATGTGACAGGGGCAGGGGAGACCAGGGAGAGGTCAATGGGGGGAAAAAAGGAGACATATGTACTACTATTTTAATACTTTAAATAATAATAATAAAAAAGATATGAAGTAGGACTTAGGTTAGTGGCAAGGAAGAGGTGAGCAGAGCCCCAGGTATTAAGAACCAGTTACACAGGAGTCCAATGATGAGAAAAGCTTGGTGAATGAGATCAGAGAAAAGAACACTGATTGCAGCAGGAGTAGTAAGAGGGAGACTGAGGTTTAATCAGAGCCAGGACCTGGCCTTCTGTACCAAGGAAAGATTTTGTTTCTAAAGTAATAGAAGAGAAAGCTGCTGTAGGTTTTAAGTGCAGGTAACACAATAAGCTTTATATATTCATATGATGATACTGACTGTTCTATGGGGTAATGGTAAGGAGAAGACTTGGTAATTGGTTGGATATAGGAGACCAGATAGAAAGAAATGTGAAAGATGACATTCAGGTATCCAGTATGATTACCAGAGAGGATTGTAGTATCATTACAGATTGTAGTATCATTAGCAGACAGAACAAGAGTTTAATTTTATTAAGTGTATAATAGCTCTCAATAAACAGTGACAATATGTTGTGGTTGTTTTTACTGATGATTGAAAACTACTTGCTGTGATTAGGGGTAATGGTGAATTTTTTAGGTGTTGCTCTCACTGTGTATACAGATACTTCTGAACTTGACATTTGCAAAGGGAATGCAACTGAACTTCAACATGAAAAAGCCTTTTATTACGTTCAATCTGACATCTAGGATAGCTTAATATAACACATTAATAAACAGAATTCTTTTTTCATGAATTCCATTCTTTTACCAAGAATCAAGAAAGTTTAGATATGATAATATAGCCATGCCAATTGGTCTATCCAGGGCTTACATGTTTGAGGCATCAATGTATGGGGAGATCAAACATAAAATTAGCCTTAATTGGCCTAGGCTAAATAATGAATGAGCAAAGACAGCTCAAAGGATTTTCCTATAAGTTAGGTAAGGGGATAGTAAGCAAAGAAATCAAGAGGTGTACTTAGATCTTTGATCTTACAGGAAGTATTTCATACTTTATTTTATGACACAGATTCTACTTATATCGTACTAGAGGCCCAGTGGATGAAATCTGTGCACGGGGTAGGGTGGGAGTTGTGTCCCTCAGCCCAGCTTGCACCCTTTTCCAAACTGGGACCCCTCGAGGGATGTCTGATTCCCAGTGGGATTGGGCCTAAACAGGAAGTTGGACATCCCTCTCACAATCCAGGACTGCTGGCTCCCAACCGCTAGGCTGCCTTCCTGACTGATTGGCCCTAATTGCTTGTGCCTGCCAGCCTGATCACCTCTAACCACTTCCCTTGTCAACCTGCTTCCCTAACCACTTCCCTGTCTCTAACTGCCTTCCCCTGCCAGTCTGGTCACCCCTAACTGCCCTCCCCTTCCGACATGGTCGCCCCTAATTTTCTTCCCCTGCCAGCCTGGTCATCCCTAACTCTCCTCTTCTGTCAACCTGATCACCTCCAACTGCCCTCCCCTGCAGGCCTGATCGCCCCTAACTGCTCTCCCCTGCTGGCCTGGTCTCCCAACTGCCCTCCCCTGCAGGCCTGGTTCCCCTGCAACTGCCCTCCCTTTCAGGCCTGGTTCCTCCCAACTGCCCTCTCCTGATGACCTGATTGCCCACAACTGCCCTCCCCTGCCGGCCATCTTCTGTCCACATGGGGGTGGCCATCTTGTGTGTAGGAGTGATGGTCAATTTGCATACTACCTCTTTATTATATAGGATTTTCACCTCATTTAATAATCTGTCATACCTGCAAATACTGTTCACACATAGTGGGGGGAGAAAGACTGCCTATTAGAATAATTAGTTAGCAGTATCAACTATGTAAGGCTATTTTCATTTTCATTCTGGTGAGCCAGCACTGCTTGTACAAGCATCTGAGAAGGCTACTAAGTCTTCTCACCTGGCTCACGACCACTGCCTTTGTTCCCTAGAGATGCCAGGAAAGCAAAGGCCAAGCATCAGGAGTTACCACATTCTGTTAATAAGAATGCTTATATTAGGGGTGTCGAACTCAATCAGAGAAGGGGCCAAAATCTAAAATCCAGCCTAAATCGCGGGCCGAATGGTTTACTGAACAGTCATAAACTGTCATTGTGATGGAAACGCAGCGGAGTGCAGTGATGACAGCACGGTGTGGGCCACATTGCAAGGCCTGGCGGGACGGATTTGGCCCACGGGCCTTGTGTTTGACACATGTGGCTTATATCATTATCCTGATCATTGTATTAAATAAGCCCTGAAGCGTATGAGGTGGATGGAAAATGTATGTAATATACCAGAAGGCATGTAAAACTTCTGAAATAGAAGTTTTGAGTTCTGAGTTGAGAAGTTTTACAGTATTTAATCTACACACCAACTGGGCATTTTGCAACTAGGCATCTATAAAAGAACTAAGGAGAAAGAGGCACTAAGGGCACATAAAATCTCACACCTAAATAACTGGCATCATTTAAACACAAGCACCATTAGTGAACATCAGACAAATACACAGATCAGAAATTTTTAAGGAGAAAGAGGAATAGTTTAACCCAGTGGATCTCAACCTTTCTAATGCCACGACCCTTTAATACAGTTCCTCATGTTGTGGTGACCCCCAACCATAAAATTATTTTTGTTGCTACTTCATAACTGTAGTTTTGCTACTGTTATGAATCATAAATATCTGTGTTTTCCAATGGTCTTAGGCAACCCTGCTAGCGGTTTTCAACCTGTGGGTCGTGTCCTACAGGTTGAGAACTGCTGCTGTAGAGCCTAAGACCATCGGAAAACACAGATATTACAGTTAAGAAGTAGCAACAAAAATAATTTTATGGTTGGGGGTCACCACAACATGAGGAACTGAATTAAAGGGTCGTGGCATTCGAAAGGTTAAGAACCACTGGTTTAACCTACATTCTGAATGTTTAACATATACCTTATTTATATTATAATTCTTAGAGAGGACTTTGAAGTATATTTTTAAACTTATACCTTTACTAGTATATTTATTAAACTAGGAAATGCATCTAATACACATATTTTCGCTTTTTACATTTAAATAAGCACATATACGGAACTTCTTTATTGCTGTGGTTAATTTGTAATGTTGCCTTACCTGGTATAATCCTGCAAGACCTCAAGTATCTCAATTCAACACAAGGAAATGAGCTAGTGCTGAATCATTTGAGCATTTGCATTTATTCCTAATTATATTAACAAACCCTTGTTTATGGTAACTTCAGAGTTTTAGCTTTTAGACATTTGTTGAAAATAAGACATTTTGCTTACTATCTAAAAATTCTAGAGAGTTTTTTTCTTCACATCTAGTCATTAGAAGCAAGGCTCTGAAAATCTGACTGAGTATTCAAATCAGATCTCTACCACTTAGCTACGTAATAATCTGTGTCTCAGCTTCCAAAGTGAGTCTCAGATGCTCATTTGTAAAACAGGATAAAGTAGTATCTAACTCAAAGACTTCTTGTGTGAAATGCTTTGTTGCATGGCAAGGACTTAGAACACTGCCTGGCACATATAAGTGGCCCAAAATGTCAGCTATCATCATGACCATCACTATCAACATTGCTCCTGAATCAGAATCATTCATTTTTGGACACTGGGGAAAAGTCTCCAAAATACATTTAACCTTTCCCCTCTGTATTCTTAGTTCTTAGTTTTATCAGAAGCATCAACCTTTCTTATTTCCCAATTACCGTTTTTTTGTTTTTTTTTTAGTCCAGTGATTCTCAAACTTTTCTTTTACATAGGTACCATTATAACAAACTCAAACATTCCAGGAACTTTCACATGATGTAATTTGTAATTTTAGAATCCTCTGATTAAGAAAATACAGATGAACAGAGGAATTTAAGGACCCGTGAAACAAATCCACAGCCCCTCCAGGGTCTAAGACTTATTGGTTAGGAACCATATTCAATAATGAATATATTTAGATTATAATGTAATTCAGGTTCTTTTTTTAAAAACCTCATGGGTCATATTTCTTTCAGTTTCTCTTACCTCGCCCATGACTGCTATGGGTGTCTCTCCTGTTGCCTGAGCAACACGATGCTCTACTAAGTAGAACATATACTCGTCATAGAGTAGACGGATCAAGTGGAAGGAGCCAAAGCTAGCAGCACTGCGTAAGGTTAAGTCCCGAATAACCATTGAGCTGTTCCAAGAGAAAAGACAGATGCAGCCAATATTAGTGACGAGGATTAGAGTTCAACCTACTTTTTCTCTTCAAAGAAGTCAAGTTGGAGGTCTGAAAGATGGGTATGGCACACAGCCTGCCATGCAATAATTTCACGATTAAAAGCAGTTGGCTCAACTCTTTGAAACAGGGAGGTAAGAGAGGTAATCCTCACTGACACTTTAGGACTTTATTAGAGCTAGACAGGTTTTTATGGGAAAAGCCATTTTACTAACATAGGCAAGTCTGATGATCCCACTGAGTTCTCATATGGGTCAGAATTGAATATGAAATAGTTTTGAAAGGTTGACAACTCATCACCTCCGTAAGAAAAAGCAACTCAAAGTGAAAATCTTATTGATGGGTAAACATTGTGTTTCTACTTCTCAATGATAGTAGCTTTGATCAGAAGCATCAACCTTTGGGAAAAGATGTATTTGTGCCACACACAAAGGTTATAAAACATACTAAGCAATGTTCTCAGATGTGGCAAAGTAGAATGTAGATGATCTTTACATTGATCTGTATGACTGGGGTGGAAGACAAATTTATTGTAATTCCAGTTTCTTACTGATTTCCACTTAAATTAAGGTGATTTTCCATGAAAAGTGTATTAAAATCAATGAAGAAATGCCTGTCTTTGAAAATGTGAACTTTTAATTTATAAAATATAATACCAAAATATGAACAATATTAATAAAACTAGAGGCCTGATGCATGAAATTCATGCAAGAGTAGGCCTGGCTGCTGGCACCAGCCTTCCTCTGGCTCCCAGGACCCGGGGCTTCCCTTGCAGCCCTGGCTTTATCTGGAAGGTCATCTGGGAGGATGTTGAGTCTAATTAGCATATTATGCTTTTATTATTATAGATACTAACTATAAACTTAATATTTAAATTGTAAATGAGTTTAAAATAAAAATTTGGCTTCACTGAAGATAAGTCCATCATTGGCTTGTCCATGCACTTCAAACCTCTTCAATATTTCTAATTAGAATCAGGGTGGGGTATGTGTAGGGTGTTGAGGGGTGTGTGTCTGTGTGTGTGTGTTATCGATTTTAGAGAAAGGAAGGAAGAGAAGGAAGGAGAAAGTGAGTGAGGAAGAGGAAGAGAAAGAGACAGAGACAGAGATAGAGAGATAGAGATTGATTGGTTGCTTTCAGTGTGTGTCCCAACTGGGGTTCAAACCCTTATCCCAGATATGTGGCCTGACCAGAATCGGACTGGCAACCTCCTTTTGGTGTACAGGACCATGTTCCAATCAGTTGAGCCACCCAGTCACGGCAATACCTAGCTATCTTTTAAACATACTGATAAGCATGCCAAGAAATTATTGTCACATGTTTAGAAAAGAATCAGTTGAGTTATATTATTAATGCTATGTCTGCTTTACTCTCTCTGTGTTGGGCCTCTGCCCTACAAGCCAAGTATTAAATGACATAATTAACAGTTTAATTAGAAACCTACTGTTGATTCAGACTTCTATAAGGCATGTTGCAAAATTGATTCCATTGAATTTTATGTTGCTAAGTTACCACAAATTCAACTCATCTTCAAATCAGTAATAAATGTTAATTATTTTATGATGGTGAAAGATACCCTTGTGTATTTGTCTTTATAATTCATTGTGTGGAAATGGAAACATTTATTCTAGCACATGATACTCAATCCACCTCTTTGTGTATTTGGGGATATAACACACCCTTCCTAAGAAGAAAAGTGAGAACATCACACCTGAGACCTCCTTGGGAACTCTCTTTTCTTATAAAAATTTTATTTTTATTGATTTTATAGAGATACATGAAGGGAGAAAGGCGGGAGGGGAGAAACGAAGGGAGAGATGGATGGAGGGAACAGTGGGTGTTGGAAGAGAGAAAGGGGGTGGGGAGAGAAACAGCAATTTGTTCCACTTTTTAATGCATTCATTGGTTGCTTCTTGTATGTGCCCTGACTGTGGTTTAAACCCACAACATTGGTGAATCAAGATGACCCCCTAACCAATTGAGTTACCTCGCCAGGGCCTGGACTGTCTTTTTAACAGTGCTTACAGTTGATTTCAAAAGAGTATTACTTTATGGAAGATTTATATATTGTCCCGTTGTAGTAAAGCTAGGTTCCCTGTGCCCCCTTTCAAATCACTATAAAAGCTATACATTTCATTCCTTAAAAATGGGATATTTGGTTATCCTGATCCTGAGTAATGCTGTGTTCTGTTATCCACAAAACACACAAGCTGAGAAATGGCCCACATAACTTTTCCATTTATGCCCAAGAAAGATGGTGATTATTTTTTACCCACCTCCCAGGGAGCTAACAGTAGCCATTTAAAGCCAGGTTAGGCAAGGAGAGACCCCCATCCAGAAAAGAGGGTGTTTTCAGCCATTCATCAACTGCCAGCCGATATCATGATTCCCTGCCAGTTCATTTCTATATTTGTGTGCATGTAAATAGACACACAGAATCTTAGAAATTGTGAGATTAACTGGCTTCAGAAATTGAGAGTCTGTATAAGTGACTGCCAAATTCTTATTACAATGCCAAAAACTTTTGAAAAAATACCTGCAATTCTGTTTCTCTGATAGTTTATGAATGCAGTGTTCGTTACTCAATATGTCCTAATGCCTTAGTAAAAAGCAGTTCAGATTCTAAAGGCTTTTAGATTTTTAAGCTATTGACTTTGCCTGCCAGCAGGAGTTATGCATCTGTCAGAATATGCCTTCCCTTCTGTGGCCTTTCACTGTACGCCTTCAAGTCTTTTTGAAATGAAAATAATAACCATAATAGTGCCTAATAATAACAAGCCAATTATCCCCAACTCAGGGAGGACAGAGGGCAGGCAAGTGATGATCTGGGTTTGTGTATCTGTGAGAACAAAAATACAAGTAAGTAATTTTCTCTTTTCAATATTACCTGCAACACATTTCTGTGGAGACAAAGGCTCCAGGGGTATATTTCTAAAATGTTATCAACTAAATGTAGTAAAAATAAAAACCTTCAGGAAGAAGTAAGGGTAGGCCTGACACAACATCAGCAGAAAGCAATGAGAAGGGGAAAAAACTTGCTTTCTCTGATATAGAGGATGTACTCTGCTTTAGGTCATTTGGTTTTTGGAATAACCAGCTGGTAGAACTTATGTTTCATCAATCATTCATGAAGCACATATACCATCTATTTAATTTTCTGGAGAAAAATGGAGGAATAACAAATAAACTTGCAAAAAAAAAGGGAAAATACACGAAATCTTAAGAAATACTAACAAACTAAAAATTTGATTTCTATTACTGCTACTTTGAGAACACTGTGATGCTATTTTCTAAATCTTTCCCATATATCCAGAGGAGATTCTAAACCTAGCGTGGGTTTTACTGAAGCAAATCAGTGGGTCATAGTCAGTCAGCATCTTCATAAGGCGCTTCTCAAATCATGTGGGCCATGGGTATTAGATATGAGAGATAGAACTATGGAATTATGTCATTCCAAAACAAAAACCAAAACCACACGAAACTGCCATGCTTTCTTTCACTGCATTTGAACCTTTGCTAGACACTATTCTTATATCCTGAAAATAGTTTTCTAATTTAACTCTTAACTGAAAATGTATTTTTTTTTACACTAATTCTGATGCTCAGCTAGATTTGAAAACAGTTGTAATTGATCAGTAAGAATTTAACTAGATAGTAAATCTGCAGCTCTACTTTAAGAAATAAGAATTGGACCAAATCAGCTAAGAAAGCAAGTCACTTACAATAAAAACCAAAGCAACAATGATTATAATGAAAAGATACCTTTATAAGGATGATCCAAACAAGATGAAGTTCTATAGTCTGGCACTATTAGTTCCTAAACTCTGTTACTTCTTCATGTACCTCCTCTCCTCACGGCCAGCTTTGGACTCACAGCTGGCGTCTAGATAATAACCATGGTGTACCATAGCCAAAGTCAGTGGTATATCCTGAGGTCATGTCACTACTTTCTATTATGATACTTGAATGGCTGTATAGAATCAAAATTAGGAACCTGCCCAAACCTCAAAGTATATATGGTTTTTAGGCCCAAGCCAACAGGGTCACCTTTATCTAAAGAAGCAAAGAAATAAACCCACCAAAGAACAAATGCCAGGGTCAAAAAATAGAGCTTATCTAACTATGAAAATGGAACTTCATCTGTCAATCCCATCCCAAGTATAAAAGGTATTATGCCATCTTAGGCTCTGTTTGAAACGCTTGGGGCAGACCTGTGGTAAATAGCTTATACCAACATTTGATATCATATATCAAGTAATCTGAAAGCCGTTCTCCTCTAGGATTCTTCTATGTCTATAAAAATATATATTTATGTCAATATTATCAGTAAAAAAGTGATACATTTTGTACTGGCTACTAGGTTATTGGATATTAAACTAGCTATGCATTAGAATCACCAGAAATAAGCTTTAAAAGAAAGAATTTTTGATTTATTCCTAATCATTACTCCCTTAACCATCAAGATTTTAATCCAGTAGAGGTTTGGGAGGTATGTAGATTTTTTTTTTTTACACTAATTCTGATGTTCAGCTAGATTTGAAAACAGTTGTAATTGATCAGTAAGAATTTAACTAGATGGTTTTTAGCATGCGTTAGAATTACCAGGACACATTAAAAATGCACAGATTGTTGAGCCTCACCTCTGTAGATTCTGATTTAAAGAGATTTAGGGGAGAGGACCTGAGAATTTGTATTTCTAACATGTTCCGAGCCATAGTGATACCACTGGCCTAAGAGAATAGAAAGAAGTGGTGCCAAGGCCTCAAAAAAGAAAAGCCTTCATAATGTCTGTTTGCCAGAGAGAGGACTGTGGCCTCTTTCTTGCTGTTGTAAACACATTATCTGGACTGCAGTCTTGGGTCTTCCCATCTGAGAACGCTAGTGCTCTGAGCAAGAGGCTTTCTGTTCCTACCAGAAAGCTGAGTTTCATAAGCCTCCTGATACGATTCCATAAAACTGCAATCAATGAATTGGGTTGAAAATAATTCTAACTGGAAGTTTCTATGAATAAAGTCTTCACTTATTTTCCTTTGTCTGAGAAGTGTGTACATTACACACATGTTTGCAGACTATGATAAATAAAGCTCAGGGAAAATTTAGATGGTACCTGTAGAAAGACCATTTTAGCAGAAACTGCCTGGCAGCTTTCGGAAAACTGGGCCTCCCTTCGTAGGGTTTCAGGGCTTGCATCATCACGTTGTCCAGCCATGCGGCCCACTGCTCCAGGGTGCTCTGCTGCTGGAGAGTCATCTTGAAGTCTGTTTCTAGTCTCTGAACCATGTTGTCATCACACTGGCACACCCAGGAAGCCTGCTCCTGGGACAGTACACACAGAGCAAAAGAAAAGTTCAATACATCTTTTCACTAAATGGCTGCACACAAACCATATGCACGAATAGGAAATTATAATGAAAGCTTCCAACTATTTAAATGAATTAAGAGATTGAATGACTACTTGCCTGTCAGCTGTTAAGGAAACTAACATCGCCTATATGCATGAAAAAGTGATGTGACATAAAAGCAAGACATGGCTTTTCTACATGACCTAGTCTATATGCAAGACTAACACACCCGTAACTGAAGAACAATAGAAACTTGAACCTACAGGATGCAAGGTCTTTTACTCTATTCAGTTTTTATGCTGCCTTCCCAAGTTCTCTTTCCTCCGCTACGAATCAAATAAAACTTTAAAGCCTATTCATCTGAGAAGACTTAGGGTAACTCAGATTGGCAGAAAGTAGTCTTTCAGGATGAAAACAGAAACAAACACTGAATAGTACTAGGTAGAAGCACATGCTGTATGAGTTTTATAAATGGGAAGCCAATCTCCAGGGCAGTCAAGGCAAGGTTTTGAATGCAAATTAATCTACAGAACTGAGAACAACAACAAAATACTTTTGAGAAAATGTAGATATGCTAACGGCCATGTAATTCAACTCCTACAGTTTTCCTTCTGGTTATAACTTGGAAGTTTCATGTTTAGTGAGAGCAATGGAAACGGGAACTTTTAAGGCTACTTTTCAGTGGTTACCATTAAGTTCTATAATGTTTCCAATGTCTTTCAAGATTACCAAAAGTACATATATTCTCATGGTCAGAGTATAATCCTAAATAATAAAAGGCTAATAAGCAAATCGACGAAACGCTGGAATAAACAGTTGCTATGATGCACAATGATCACCAGGAGTTAGACGCTCAATGCAGGAGTTGCCCCCTAGTGGTCAGTGTGTTCCCACAGAGAAAGTGCCACTCAGTCAGAAGCCCAGAGCTGCCTGCCCCCCCTTCCTGCTGGCAAGTGCAGCAGTGGTGGCAGGAGCTTCTCCCTCCTCCCTAGCACAGCTAAGGATGTCTGACTGCTGGCTTAGGCTCACTCCCTTGAGGCTATCCCCGAAGGGCTCCCAAACTATGAGAGGGCACAAGCCAGGTTGAAGGACCCCAGCCATATGCACATTGAGAGCAACCAGGTTGGCAGGGGAGGGCCATTAGGAGTGACCAGGCAGACAGGCAGAAGTGGTTAGGGGCAATCAGGCAGGAAGGGGAGCAGTTAGGGGCATTAGGTAGGCAGGTGAGTGGTTAGGAGCCAGTGGTCCTGGGATTGCAAGAGGGATGTCCAACTGTGGGATTGGACCTAAATTGGCAGTTGAACATTGCCTGAGGGGTCCCGGATTGGAGAGGGTGCAGGCTGGGCTGAGGAACCCCCTTCCCCCTCATGAATTTCATGCACTGGACCTCTAGTTATTTCATAATATAATATTCAACTGAGAGAAAGATGGTATGGGTTTTATGTAGGGCCTGAATAGATTAAACTGAACTCAAGCAATTCATTTAATTTCAGTGACCTCATTTTCCCCAAACATAAAATTAGTGAAATGAAAGGTGACAGTAATTTTTAGGGTGGGTTCATGTGTCCAGATAATATTTTCAAGATAGGTTTTTGTGGAAGGGTACCTGTAAAGGTCATAATTCTTTACATAAAATTGTGAATATGTGTGTATTCTTCTATGAAGTGTGTCTATTGCTTTCATTCTACCTACTCTCAAAGGACAAGTTCATTCAAATCAATAATTTCAATTAAAAAATTCCTAATCTGCATTCACTGGTTTTACCATTGCTCCTAATCCTATAAACTTCACCTATTCAAGAGACATTTCAACAGGGAGGTGTTTCAGACACAAAATGCCAAACTTCATTTACTTTATTTCCCCAGGGAAATCTTTAATTTCTTCTATATTTCCAGCTGATGATACCATCTACTACCATTCGTTGTCTTATCTAATTACTCATAAACACTTTAAGATTTTACTTCCTAAATACCAATTTTAAATATTTTAAGTATATTAAAATGTGACAATAGAAAAATAACAAATACGAATAATAAAAAAGAAACAAAATATTAAGAATATCTACATGCCAACACTGTGTATACCTTTCAATTTTTTCACATGTCATATGAATATGCATAAATGTATATGCATACATAAATATTTAAAATAGGATCATAGGATACATTCTGCTAGATATTCTGCCTAGTTTTACTTAACTATATATGATAATCATCTTTCCACTTTGGCAAATATAGAGCTATATTTAATGTTCAGTGATTAAGTTTGCTTCAATGCATGAATAAAGCATTATTTACATAACCAATTCCATACAACTAGACATCTCTGTTCATTACTATTATTTACTAGTAGGAATAATACAAGAATTAGCAATTTTATAACTACATCATTACTTTTTTTTGCACTTCTTTCTGTATGACAGAATAATAGAATAGTTATGATACTTCAAAATACACTGTCAAATAACTCCCAGAAATGATATATCAATTTAAGAATTCAGGAGAATACCCAGGGAAGTATTGTGGCCATAAGGAGGGGACAGGGAAGGTTTTATTATTATTATTATTATTATTATTATTATTAATGCCTAAACATTTTTTGTTGTTGTGGTAAAATAATACATAAAATGTATCATCTTAAGTGTCTTGTATAGGAGTATGAACTATATGTCCTTATTGTGCAATCTACCTCTAATATTTTTTATTTTGAAAAAATGAAATTTTATATTCACTATAGGCGACATTATTTTTGTGTGTTTGTGCATTGATAATTGAGAGGAGGGATTTAATGGTACTCCAGAAGAATTTCATTTAATTTCTTACTATATATTCAAGCTCACTATTTCTTTCAGAAGTTAGTTTTTGCCATGAAAAGTAATAATCTACAACCAAACTTAGAAAAATAAAGTTGCAAGATATTATTGTGGCTTTCCAAACTACTTTATAATAAACTTCATTTGCTACTCTCAAGACTGAAAATATAGTAACAGTAGAGTATATTGTAAACATTCCCTTCTGAAAGGAGTTTGGATATTTCAGTTCTATAGTCAGTAATTTTAAAATCGGATTTAAAAAAATCTTATGGTTAAAAGTATTACATGTGTCCTCTTACCCCCCACTGACCACTTCCCCTTCACTGACCCCACCCCACCTTGTGTCTGTGTCCATGGGAGTATGCACATATGCATACAAGGTCTTTAGTTAATCTCTTTCCACTCACCCACCCACCCTCACCTTGCTTCTGAGATTCCAGTATGTTCCATGCTTTTGAAATAAGTACTTGTATATGCAATAGTTAGGTTATTGGGTCAACCCACTGAAACCTACTTAGTCCATACTGCAGATAGAAAACTATCATTTAGACATAAAAAAGTAGAAAATAATACCATTGTAATGCTATCAATTAAATAAAACAAAAAATAACAATACTGCAGTAGAAAAATTATCCTGAAGAAAAGAAGATACAACTAGAGAATTATGAAGTGGTAAAAGATATATGAATATCCAGAAAGAAACTTTTTAGTACATTCAAGCTCTTAAGAGTATGATAGTATTGACCCTTATAAGTAATTTCAGTGACTTAAAGTTTCCTTATTAAAAGAGCATCACCCTTATATGGGTCAGTCTTACTGAGGTTAACCTTGTAAGGATAGGGCAACTTCCAAATGAAGAGGAGGAGGTTACAGAGGTGGAATGCTAGGCAGTGGATTGAGAAAATCAGGCAAAAGTTGGAACAGAAAAGGAAAGAATGAAGTTAAAGATTGAATATGCTACCTGAAAAAAGAAATTACTCATTAAAATGAAAGAGGTGTGAGACATAACATGTAGAGGAAAAGGAAGGATATACCACTGTGTCCCATGATCTTCGGAGGAAAAGCCAGCATATTTGTTTTAATATATATATATTTTTTTTTTTTACTGATTTTTAGAGAAAGAATAAGGATTAGGAGAGAGAGAAACATCGATGTGGGAGCAAAAGTTCCATAGGCTGCCTTCTGCATGCACCCTACTGGGGATCCAGCCTGCCCTGACTGGGAATCAAACCAGCAACCTTTTAGTGCACTGGATGATGCCCAACCAACTGAGACACCCAGCCAGAGTAGAGGATAGGTGTCTAATCATACAGATTTCAGTACAAATAGCTGTCAAGTGGACAGAGGAAAACTTGGTAGTTGAAAACAGAGGAAGGGAAAAGGTAGTCTCAAAGCTGGTGAGTGGAGAATGTGTAATAGAGTAGATACATAATTGACCATTTATATGCAAAGGTCTTCTCAAGGTTGTTGTTGATACACTGAAAGAAGTCATTTCTGTAAATACTTCATAGAATTGCAGGCATACAAATACACAGAAAAATAACATTAACAGAAAATTTAAAATCTCAGATATTATTGGGAATCATTTATTTATTTTCTGTGATTGAACTTAAATTACTTTTTGAAACTAGAAGTTGCCTAACTTCTTCAACTTTTCTGAATATACTTTTAAAGGAAGATTTAAAAATGAAGATTTGAAATAAACAATACAGTATAAATTTTAGGCAACATAAACTTCTAATATTCTCATTGAAATTAGTTAACATAAATTCTATTAAAATACATAAAGCTAATGGCTTTGTAAACAAGACAGTTTTGTCTTGTAAAGGTAATACATTTGCATGTATGTATAAATTTGTGTTTGTATACAGAGAAATTGATAAATATGTAGAAAGATCAACAACAACAACAAAAAACAACCTTTATATACATCCCCCTGACTGGTGTGGCTCAGATAGCTGGAGCATACATAGTCCAGGAGATAGCAGGTTTGAATCCTGGTCAGGGCACCGACCCAGGTTGTGGGATTAATCCCAGTCAGGGCATGTGCAGGAGGCAACCAATCGATGTTTCTCTCTCTCATAGATGTTTTCTTCTCCCTCCCCCTCTCTCAAATCCATTTTATAAAAAGTTTTTAAAAACTTTATATACATTACTAGAGGCCTGGTGCATGAAAATTCATGCCCTGGAGGGGAGGGTCCCTCAGCCCTGGTCTGCCCCCTCTCACAGTCCGGGAGCCCTCAAGGTCAGGAGGCGACCTAGTGATCAGCGGAAGGCAATGCCCCTATCACACCTCTGCTGCTGTTACTGCCAGCAGCGCAAGCCTTAGCCAGCCCTGGTTAACTGAACCTCAGGTGGCCCTGGGTGGCTGGGCAGCTGACATCTGAGGCTTGCCTATGCCTCGGGCCAGCTCTGGGTGGCTAAGGGGACTGGGGGACTCCAGAGGAAGGCACTCAAAGCGACCAGGGCCTACCTGAGGATGAGCCCAGCCTCGTGGCACACCTGCTGCCCATGTGGGGATGAGGGGACTGGGTGCCACCATCTTTGAGGGTGTGGCAGTCAATTAGCATATCCCCTCCTTATTGGCTGTGGGCACCACCATCTCTGAGGGTGTGACAGTCAATTAGCATGTTCCTCCTTATTGGCTGTGGGCACTGCCATCTTTAAGACAGCATGAGGATCAATTAGCATATTCCCTCTTTATTAAATAGGGTAAGTTTGAGGCCAATTCATGAAAGTCAGAAAGAAACAGCTTGATTACTATATCCTAAAATGAATGAAGCTCAATATTACTTTTTGATAAAACTAGACCAGAACTGCATATTAAAATTTCTAGGAAATTGAGTAATTAATAGTTTGTTTTAAGCAATTATTTTAAACAGTTTTGAGATATAATTCACATGTCATACAATGTCACTCATTTAAAATATACAGTTCAATAGCTTTTATTATATGCACAGAATTGTGTATCCATCACTACAGTCAATGTTAGAATGTTTTCATTTCTTCAAAAAGAAACCCCACACTGCTAATCTGTCACCTTCCAAGGCCCAGTTACCAGGACCTAGGCAATCACTGATCTACTTTGTTTCTATAGATTTATATACTTTGCACATTTTAATTATATAGAATCATACAATATGTGGTCCTTTGTGTCTGACTTCTTTCAACTAGCATAATGCTTTTAAGATTCATCCATGTTGTAGCATCTATCAAAACTTCATTTTGTCTTACTTCCCGATAATATTTCATGTGTGAATATACCACACTTTGTTGATACATTTAATGAACGTTTGGGTTGTTTATACTTTTATGCAGCTAACATGAATAATCCTGCTATGGACATTCATATACAAGTTTTTATGTGGATGTGTTTTAATATCTTGTGGTATACACCTAAGAATAAACTGGTGATTCACATAGTAACTCTACGTTCAAACTGCCAGGCTTTTTCCAAAGTGGCTACAGAATTTTAATTATACATTTCAATAGTAGTATATCAGGGTTCTAATTTCTCCTCATCCTTACTTACACTTACGATCTGTCTTTTTTTATTATACCCATTCTAGTGTGGGTGAAAGTGGCATCTCAGTGTGGTTTTGATTTTCATTATTCTGGTAAGTAATTATGTTGAGTATCCTTTCAGGTGCTTATTGCTGATTTGTGTATCTTTTTTGAGAAATGTCTATTCAGATCTTTGCTCATTTTAAAACTAGGTTGCCTTTTTATTATTGGGTTGAAATAGCTCTTTGTATGATTCTAGATACAATTTTTATCAGATATATGATATAGCGCTGCTGGGGTCCTGAAAATCAGGACCAAGTTAGACGGGCTGGACACATATGCTCAATTCTATGAGTTGCCATTTCATTGTCTTGATGGTCTCTTTTGAAGCACAAAAGCTTTTAACTTTGATTATGTTTAGTTTATGTATTTTTTTAATTTGTATTATTAGTGAGCAATGGCACTGTTTTTATATGGCAACAATTATCTTTATTACTTTAGTGTTTGAAGTGAACTATTGTATATGTTGGTATTCCATAATAATATTTCTAAATTAGCTATTTTTTCACTGTAATTTTAAGTAAAAGTGAGTAGTTTGATCATGAGTTTCAAATATATATTTTTTATTTGGAAGATCAAAATAGTCAAACATATTACACCTAACTCTTTTCAAATGAACAAATACTTTGTAGACACCTATGGTAAACTCTAAAGTAGGGTTATTCTAAGTTCTTTCAAGCTGGGGCATTATTAGAAACAAAAATCTCTTGTGTGTTACAGTGCAAAGGGTTTTGGATATTACTAAATATATAAACTCCTAGAGGCCTGGTGCAGAAAATTCATGCACTTGGGGAGTGGGGAAGAGTCCCTCAGCTCAGATTGTGAGAGGGCGAAAGCCAGGCCGAGGGACCCCACCACCGGTGCACAATTGAGGCTGGGGAGGGATGCAGGAGGTTGGCCAGCCAGGGAGAAACTGTGGGAAGGATCCAGGGTGTGTCCAGCCCATCTCACTTGGTCCTGATCGGCAGGACCCCAGCAGCAAGTTAACCTACCAATGCATGTCACTGCCAGCAGTTGAATGGCCTTAGCATATCATTAACATATTATGCTTTGATTGATTGAATGGTCAACAGGACACTTAAAATATTGGGCTTTTGTTATATAGGAGGACATTCTAAGATAGGTGTTATACAGTGGGGAATGTAAAACAAAGAGCAGTTAAGTAACTTGTCCAAGATCCCACAGCAAGGAGATGAAATAATTTAACCTCCAGCCTATCTAACTTCAATGACTTAGCCCATTAACCATTCAGAAAACCCTGGTGACACAGGTTGTGTCTAGTACTATAAATCTTAGTAGGTTTGAACCACAAAAACAGAGGAGCAGTAAAGTCATAGCTGAGTAAAACGCCCTTCTTTCAGGATGCTGTGAATAGAGATGCTGCCTGCGTATTGATGTGACTTTAAAAAGAAATATGATGATCCTAATTAAGAAGAAAAAATTTAGTGTCTTCTCTTCCAAGACACACTTTGCAGGGACACAGAGTACCTGGACATTGGCAAAGTCGACACGGTTGAGGTCATTGAGCATCTGGTTAATCTGAGACGTGTTCTGAAGCACTGCACGAGCTGCCTGGGCCAGGTGATTGAGCGATGTGTATCTTCGCAGAGTCTGGGCAAAGGCACTTACAGCGGCAACCTGTACAGAAATCCAATTAAAATGGGATTCTTTTTTTCCCTTCTCGTAACAGAAACCACTGCACATCCTCAAATCTTTATTCCCTTGCCAAATTTTAAATACTTCCCTCAGATACTTATTTCAAATTCATTTGGTGAGAGAGCTTACTTGTAAATTACAGCACTTAAATCTCTAAACCAAGTATTATTTTCTTTTGAGTGGGTTGAGGTCAAGATTAAAACTAACTCCCACATTCTTCGACATCTGAGTGCAGAATTAATTAAACTAGTCTTACAAGTAATTCCTTACCCATGACACGAAATGACTTTCTCTGGGGAAGCAGGAAAATATTGATTTTCTTCCCCCCCCCCCCACTCTCTTGTAGGACAGTCAACTATAAACTTGGCAAATAATTTTAACTTAGAAAAGCAAATTGGAGAGTCCCACTTTTAAAAATGGATAAAAATATATACTTTTCCAGAGCACTGTCATTCATATTCACTCTTATTACCATTCATTTTATAGAAATGGGTAATTTTGAGGTAAAACAAAAGAATTCATAGCCTTTATCAGCAACGTTGTAACTAATAAACTTATCAGATATAGGCAACAAGAACTCTTTTTCAGAATATAAATTTCTGTTAAAGGGCTAGTCAGGAAATTTACATTTGCCCTTCAAAACCTATTTCTCATCCTTATCTATGCTGCTCTGTGCTCAGGAAGATTGTCCTGAATGTACTATAGCAACCACCTCCCTTACACTATGGCTTCCATTTGGCTTCCAATGATGGGCACTGGCAAAAGACTGAAGGGTGGGAATAGTCATTAAGTATTTATTTCCTTGAATTTTCTGTTCTCTCCCTGTTTTGGCAGAGACTGCTTTCTGTTTCTATGACCACAGTTCTGTAGCAAGAAGAGAATCTTAATGCCACAACTTTCCCTTCTAGATGTAGGCACGTTCAGGACTTTTCACTATTGCTACTCCTGAGGTACTTTACCATTCCTTTTCTTAACTCTTTTCACACCTTTGTAAATAAACCCTTCTTAAACCCTCTTCAATTATTTCCTCCAATTATTTAAATGCTGCAGAGTGATTTACAAAAGTACTCTTCAGCATTTAAAAAATATACCACAAAATATCCCAACCCTCAATGAACCAAGTTACAATGAAAGAGATTAAAGCTAAAGAAAGATATAAAAGATACCTTGGTTTGTATCATTCTCTGTGGAATATTGTTCATGGCATTGGAAAGCCAACCTTCAAGGCTTTTTGCAAAATTTCGAATGGCTTGGGTCAAGGCACCTAAATGTTAAAGAATAAAGGCAGAATGAAAAAGGTACAAAAGAACATTAATGTTTAAGCTAGATTATGGGAAAACATGCATACACGACACATGAAATAGCACAGAATTTATAATGTCTTCACTGATGAGACTTTATTTAACATTATACCTAACCTTGAAAGAGTTCGAGCATTATATTTTAGGGGATTTGTTTTTTCTTGTAAAGCTATTTTGTTCACAGATACTAATGCTTCTTGGTTGGCAAATGAAAATATTCAAACATTTTTGCTTATAACATATACCAGTTGTGAATATACTTGTGGAATTTTCTTAAAATACTTTTTATTTACAGCTCTGTGCTCAAAGCTATTTTCTTTTACAAGTTCTTCATCTTGATTATTCAAGTTTTTAACCTTTATTTTCCTTTATTTTTTAGTTAAAAAGAAGATCATGCAAAGCTTCGTCTCTTTTTCTAAGCCTCTATTTACATTAGAACAAGCCAGCTAGAGTAGTTTTCTCTCACCCTTATTGAAAAATAAGGTAAAAATCAATCTGGCCTAATTTGAAATTTTGGATAACTATTCTCCATTTCACTTGGCAGGTAGAGATGAAAGATCAGTGTGATAAAATTACTTTCACAAAGACCAATATTCTTAAGCTATTCCTAAATTAGTCCAGTCCATACTTTTCACATATCTGTTAAAACCTGAAATAGGGTTAGGTCCCATGAGAGTGGCTTTTTATAATGGCCATAAAGTGTTTGGAAGCATTATCTGGGGTGACTATTTTACCAGAAGGGATCTGTTTACTGAGATTGCTGCATAAGAGAAGATAGGATTCTTTTCTTATTCAACAAATAATTCAGTCAATAGCATTTCCCTTCATCAGCACCAAAGTGGAGGGAGCAGCTTTAAGATACTTAATAAATATTTGAGCATTCACAGCTAAGTCTTTGTGGGTTCCCTATCTTATGGGTAGGTATTACAACTGGTAGTCTACGGTAAGAAACAGAGAAGTTACATGTTTGTCTAAGGCTTTCCCAAATATTAACGTTAATGATGAGATCAAGTTTCTTGGTTTTTTTCTCTGTGCTTAAATGAATCTGACATGCTTCTCTATTACTTTTGTTAAAGCACAGTTAGACAACTACTCAAATTATTTGCAAATGATACAAAATTACTAATCCCATAATAAAAAACAACTATTTTTAAACAATGACTTATTTAACTGGTAAAATGACAAAAGAGAAACTAAAATGGCTTATTTTTTACTAGAAAAAACACTTGAGAAGTGCAGAAAATGAGAATCATCTATTGGAAACATTGAGTTGGAAATTTCTTAAGATCTAATCTTTTGAAATTTCCAAAGCTTCCCACTTTAGCCAAAAGAGAAAAAAAGAAAGAAAAGTATTTTCCTGCTGCATTATGTACTAGAATCATGAAGGACAGGCATGAATGGAAATGAAAAAGAGTGAAAATTAACGCTTTTTGAAACTCAGTACAAGTTTTTGCAAGATTCAATTTGGCTAACTGAATTTTGCATTTTTCTGTAATTAATATGTAACAACTGTTTAATCTAAAACAAACAAACAAACAAGACCCAGGAAAGTTACTTTAAAACATTAATGAGTTTTACCTAGACAAATCTGATGTGAGAGAGGTTATAAAATAAAAAGGTATGTTTGTATTTCAAATGATTTTTAGTTTTTACTTTCTTTTTTGTATTAAATGTCATGTTGGGCCACCTGTAAAAAGACCTAAAAATTGTACATTTAAGTATTACCAGTCGAGTTTTTATACAATTCTTTGCACTTAACTTTTTCTTCATTTTCAGATAAATGTACTTTAGAATATAGTAGATTCAAGCTGACTGACTTTAAATTAGTGTGAGATGCAGACTATTTTTTGGCTAAAAAAAGGAATCCCATCTGGACAGTAAATGGTAGAGTGAAGTACTAGTAGCCACAAAATAACAATTTTTAAAATAAAGTTTTGTTTTCTCTCTCTATGGGTTCCCGTCAGATCAAATTGTGCACATCAACTTTTGACAACTGTTCTCATGACTGGATGTTTGAAATTTAAAATCTATTGCAAAGCAACTTGTTTTAACCCACTCATGATTAATATTAAGATGCAAACAATCAGAAGATAGCTATCTAAACTCTATTTTAAGCTTTATTTTGTTAGGTCTTGAATAGAATGGGAAATAAATTTCCAAATTTACTTGGCTCATAAATGTATCTTGTAATTTCAGAGAAACTATAAAACTATACTTATGTAAAAACTCCTGAAGTTGAGTTGTCTGCTGAATGTACAGACAAAGTACTTGACATAAACCACTTGAATAAAGTGGTTTTTAAAGCACAATTTAAAAACAAAGGCCAAGTGTATTCTGTATTTAAATGGTGGGGCTTGCAGTTAACTAAAACTGATACATGATTTAAGTTAGAAAACTGGAATTTATAAGTTAAAGACTTTTGAGGCTAACATGGAAGTTTAAGATTTTAGAGTTATTTCATGAATATTGATGTTGTTGATTTGCCGCAAAAAAGAAAGTGCTGACTGACATCTCTTCTTATATCTCTTGAAAGAAATTATATGTGGGTGGGAAGATGTCTAATGGGCTACCTATGCTACTTCTCTTAAACATCTCGGAAGATTCTAACTCAGAGCACAGGGAGCAAGAAAACAAGGAAAATCAGATTCTGAAACATAAATCAGAAGAGAATTTACACAATGAAATTTTCCATGACCACATTATTTTTGATCAATGCTTAGTCAGGAACATGGTGCAGATAGAGTAAAAAAACATTAGCAATTGATAAAAATGTGAGACAATGGCAGGTGGATTTTTAAAAAATAAATGTCTATTCAAATGTATAGCATTCATTGATACTGTATGTAAATGTGTGTCTACGCACATATTTTAAGGTGGTGAGGAACATATGAAGTAACTCATATCCTCCACTGTTATCTATCATATTTAGGGGAAAAAAGCAAGTATAAGTACATAAATGTTCATTTCTTCACCTTTTGTTCTATTCAATCCCTAAATATTATCTGGAATAACTTAATACAAATCACCTGTGAATAGTCTACTTGAAGTACACGGTTGCCGATTTCACAAGCTAAAAGATTGCTTTTACCTTCCTAATGTCACTTTACAGTGGAAAGTCTGTAAAAGTTAAAATCACTAGTATGTGTTCATGAAGATGTAAGCGTACAATCATTCCAACTGCTGCTAACACAAGTATCCATAGTGGCATTTATATTGACACTTGCAGAAAATAGCTTTGTTTGCTGCAAGGTAGTGTAAAATGCAAGCATCACTTAATCCAACTTATCTATGTAATTCCTGTTTGCTTCATGGAGGGACTAAAATGCTTGCATAGTAGCATAGATTTTTCTCTCAAAATGCCAGTTTAGAATTGCTGTGAATAGAAACTGTATTTGTAGTTCAGAACATGATGTAGGTGACAAAGGAAATGCTTTTATAAAAGAATTCAACTTCAGTGGAAACCAAGATAAATTCATTTCAAATCAAAAGCAACCATAAAAGAAGCTGGGCTAGCAATTACAGATTTCAAAAAATTTGGCTTTAGGGAGGAACTGTGTCCTTGGACAGAATAATTTGTACGTACTTGACTGGCCTGGAAGTGTTCTTGCAATTAGTCATTGGGCTGTCACATCCATAGATTAGTTTTTTATTCAAAAAGAAAACTACTAAAGATTGAAAACCAGATCACTGTTCCTCTTTTACTACAGTTCTGCTCTAGGCTGCTTTCAGGCAATACTCTGTGTAGCATGTTTTCTATGTGGCGAATCTAAATGCAATTAGAATCCCTCTGGATTTCAATGTCACTTCCCAAAACTTCCTGGGTGGCATGTATGAGAACAAAAGCATCCGTACTTGTCTGCATTTAACTTACTAGGAATAGGTCTAAGGACGTCGGGGATGAGAATCTCCACCAAAGCCTGGTACATCCCATGGTCACAGTTACACATCCATTTCAGGATAGACTCATGTTTGCACAGAGTTATCAGCTTTGCTTTCGGAAGTCGACTTTCTATTTCACTCAGATTGCTGGGGTGAATAAATGTAGCAAATGAATAGATGGCAAATGAGGATAAAAAAGAAAATGGACTTTAAAAATAGTTTTAGTTTATCAAATATTACTGAAGTTAGCACTATACCACCATTGCACTGGTGCCATACGGCTGGATATATATCACATTCCCCCAGAGCTGCCTATGCACGTTAATACTTTCTGACGGTATGAAAGGCAGATATGATACTAAATCCATGAGGATGAAATAGCTCTACCACAGTCCACCAATGCAATAAAATGGGCTCTATTGTACACACGCTGAAACCTCCAGAGAGCAGTTTGTGGCTTATTTCAATCTATTCATTTAATGTTATCAGATAGGGTTCACAACTGGTATACATATCTCTAATTTATTAGCTGTGACATCTACTCAGCCATGAAAATGAACTGGAAAGGTTATTGATTCTGACCTTGATTCAGTAATGGTAGTGCCGTCAGTTGGAGTGGAGGGAGAATAGCGCCAGAATGTTTGCCACAATTTTTCTATCAGGCTAAACTGAAGATTCACAACAACATCCAATATTGCCTAAGAAACAAAACAGTTATTGGTATATCTTACAATATTTCTTATGTGCAGGTGAGAGGAGAACATAATGTAAAGGGACTTAAATGGTAAAAATACCTTTGGGCTCATAACTTGGTGATACTAAATTGGCCATTGGGAGTAGGGAAACAAAAGAGATTAGCTAGGGGAAAAGCGGGAATAAACAATGCTTAAACGATTAGGCAGGATGACTGGTATCCCTCCCACAATGGCCCCATATCTCACCCTCACTTTCACTTCTTTCCTCCCCGACCTCTCCATGGTCATGCTTGCTTCTCACTTCTCTTTTTCTTCTCATACTTTTCTTTCATTTCTTTCTACCCCACTGCTTCCCTCTGCCTCCAGCGTTGCTGCCATTCTTCCTATTCTCAGTGCGGAGGGCACAGATTCAATTCACGTCAGTCCTCACTGAGCTCGATGTGTCCACTGGCCATCGAAGAGGCCAGAAGTGAAGGGTGTGGGGGTGCTTGTGTGTGGCAGAGTTAGAGCTAAAGTAGCTCTGTTGAAAGCTACTGACCATGGGTTCCAAAGTGTTCCCAGCTGAGCAGAGGCTGGGTCACAAACTACAGTCAGGAAGGCCTTCAGATAGCCTGCCCAGCAGAAGGGGAGCACAGCGAGCACCTCTTTGGTCACCCAATGCCTCCCATTCAATCCTGTTCTGCGCATGCCCCTTTGAGAGCAGCTTTAAGAACATCTCCTTTTCTAATCTTGCATCAGGGGCTTTACCTTCTCCTTAATTTTACCTACTAGAGCCATTGTCCAGCTTTTGGAGATTAATTTTTTTTTTTTAGGATGGTAAAATTTGCCACTTCCATTAACTTCTGATGGTCATATTTAGTGTTGCCCTGCCCTTGCAATTAGTTTATAAATTTACCTTCAGATAAAAAATGTCATAAAATAAAAGAATAACTTGTGCAGAGTACACATGATTCTGTGATTATTTTGTACATAAAAGACAGAAGTTGTCTATATAAAGTGCTTGGTGTCCTCAGCAATGAGAATGAAACAGACGCCTAGTCAAGATCTACAAAATGCACATAAGTGACAAGAGATGAAAATTGGGAGTCAAACTGAGGATTTTAGGCAAAAAGAGAAAACTATAATGTCATAATTCTGAAGTCTGTGCTATTTGTGTAGGTTGGCCATATTTATGATACAGAGAATAACTGATGAACTACACAAAAAACTCTGAAAACAATTCAAATATTAAGCAAAATCTGTTTGGGACATATTCTGGGAACTAGTTAGTAATAAAAATGGAGGGAAGGGATCAAATTGGAAAATGGTATAAAATTCAAAAGGTTAATGTACTCTTTACACTTTTACATCAGAAACAATAAAAATGCAAGCGCAAGCCCTGCAAGTAAAGGGCATAGAGATGTCCCTCGTCTCAGGCAAAAACTAAAACCTTCTCAAGAGGCAGGTAATTATATTGAATAGCTGCTTTCTCAGCTGTAGCTTAGGCACACTGCAAGAGAAGTCTATTAATGAAGCAACTATTAATATCTCACATAATACCTTACATATTTATATCCATGAGATCACTATAAGAACACTATGTGTATATTAAAAGAAAAAAAAATAGTATTGTAGCACCTTGTGTAGAAAACTATACTTTTCCTTATCTAAAACTAGTGATACCTACACAATATCTTTGATAAACAAATCATGAGAATTTTAAATGATAGGCAAAACAGGTATGTTAAGCTTTCTTTAAAACATAAACTGTAGTAAACATGATATAGAATAAAGTAAGTTATTCAATGCGTCTTAAATTTAATGACTTCTCAAGTCAATCTCAAATGCCTTTGAAAAGGGCATTCTTTGCAGTAGCCTCTTGACGCAGTTTTGCAAGTGGATAAAACAAATATCCTTTGTCCAAACAACCATATTCAAATATGTTCCTATTAAAATACATAGGCATTTATATTTTAAAATAGTCCATATTCTACTGGCTTAAAGCAAATGACTTAGGTATATATACTTCAAAAGTTTTGAATTTTCACAGAAAAAAAAAAGAATTCTTCTTTTTCAGATTTGCTCCATGCTCCGTGGGAGATGGCATGAATTCCGGTTACTCTGAAATAAATCTGGCTCATTCTACAGACTGCACTGCACACAGATTAAATATCATATATGTCTATCTCTCTTCCTATAGAGTAATCCTACAAATAGGAATGTTGATGAAAATGTTGTAACCCAAAGAATATTTTCATCTTATTGGGGGAGTTTTTCTCTTAGAATAATCTGACTGTACGTTCTTTGGTAATGTAAATAATATTGCTTCAACTTATACTCTGAATAAGTATGAGAAACTTAAAGAAATACAAATTATATTTGTGTATATAAGTTTGCTTAAAGCAAGATTCAGAGAGCACAGAGAAATAAGAAAATGGTTAGAGAATCTTCATATATATCATTTATATGTAAAAAGAAAATTTTCATAGATATACAAGTATCATCCAAAAATGATCTCTAATACTAGGAAAATCACAGTAATCAAAGAGAAACATATATTAAGTGTCTTTCATCATTTCAAGAAAGGTTGGGAACAGACTGGAAGGATGAGATGGAGAACAATGTGGCACATGGTTTGTTAATAAAGAGAGAGCTTGCCCTTGGTTGTTAATAATCTCACACCCTTGACAAGCACTCAGATTTATTTAAGCAGTTCTTATTTCTGGAGTATGAAAAATCTGTGAATGCGATGAACTGAGACTCCTCTATATACTGCATTGTCAGCAGTAAGGGGACAGCCTGTGAAATCCGAACGATTATCTTTTATTTCTAAGTAGATAACAGATAGCCCTGGAATAAAGCTACCTGAATTCTAAACAGACTCTTCTTTCAAAAGGAAAGGCACTTATGAAAACTCTCTGTGTAATCCATCATTCCCTCGGTACTAAATGAGCCACAGGTACAGGGCAGGCTGCCTTGCAGAAGTTCCTTCCTGTAGCCAATTTTGAGGTGGGATATTCAGAAAGGGATGGGAATAGGGATGCAAAATACAAAGAGAAACTTTAATTACTACAAAAACAACACTGGAGCCTCAATGATCCCTGGAAGTGCTTTATTAAACATTTACAGAAAGTATTTTTGATAGAAAATAGTATAAAATTCAAAAGGTAAAAAAGATGCATTTTTTGAGAAATTAGGGCTCTTTCTCCTGCCAACTAGTCACCCAGTTTCCTTTATAAAATCAACAACCATTAACATTTTCATGTTTATTCTTCTGGAGAGATCTATATACATGTTGTTTTTCATTCAAATGATAGTATGCTATACACACTGCTTTGCATCTTGCTTTTTTCCTTTGAAAATAAATCCTACCTTTGTTCTATATTAGTGCATTTAGACATGCCTATTCTTTTTAATGGTACATAATATTTCGCTTTCTAGATTATATCATGTTTTATTTAGTTAGTTCCCTACTAGATACTGAATTTATAACCAACCTTTTGCATTAAAACGATAATGCAGTAAATTAGTTCCCTTGTACACTTATCCTCATCCATATGTACACATTTTTTTCTAGGATAAAAAGCTCTAAGTGGAATGCACCAAAGGATTCATTAGAATAGGCTAAGAAAATGAACAATAAAATTCTTTCTCTCTTTCCTATAGTCCTCACTTTTCTACTCTGAGACAAGAAGTTAAATTAACTTCTAGGTGCTCAAAGAAATATGAACTAACTTACATGTCCCTTAGGAATAAGTCTGGTTGTTTTGTTTTGGCAAATTAGCTAGCCAAAACTCAGCATGGGGTTGTACTGTGTCTGAAAAGACTTACCTCACAGTGCTCTCGATAAAGACTCTGCAGTGACTTGATATCCTCAAAGGTAGTACCATCTGGCAGAGAAGAGATTTCAACTTCTCCAAACTCTGGGAGTGCTCGAGATGCATCTGTTGCCAGGACAACAAAACAGAATAAAGCTTTGTGGATGGTGCCAATTACAGATTAATGAAGGAAAGTTTAAGAAAACAAAAAGGAAAAATAAATACATAAAAGATCAGAGATCCAAAGAGCATGGATTTTTTTATAGTAGTACTTGCAAGCAAAACTTGGCAACATCATTAGCTCAAAAGAATAGATGGAACCAAAATTTTGGAGAAACTAAATTATCATTATTACTATAACATATCATAGTATTTTTAAATATAAAGCATACACACACACACACACACACACACACACACACACACATTTGAGTTAGCCAGAAAAATTTTGGGTTATTTTTACTATTATGTTATTTAAGTATGTAAAAAAATCTAGCTTTAAACTCATCATGCTCAAACCTCTTATACAATTATAAACAACAAACCTACAAAATAAAGACAAAGAAAACTACAAGAATAAACTCAACAACATTAACTTGATATGATGAATGATGCTGTTGTCCTGTATGGAACATGATTGAGGTACTGACTGCTGTGGTACAGGATCTTTTGAGTTTGATGTGCTTATATACTAACAGGTTCTTCCCGGGGGCTGGACCTCCCATTACTTTTCTATATTAAAATGGCTGTGAAATGTTCCTCCACACTGAGCACAGCATTTAACCTTCCCTTGGGATGAAGGAGTAATTTATATAGTAAGTCTCTCTCTGTTCTTTGCCAGTTGCTCAGGGCAATTAATGCAAGATACTTTGGAGTCTGCCTTATCATAAATTCAAATACAAATTGGAAACTAAAACTGCAGAACAGTATTCCTTCTTGTCTTCTAGGTGATCTAGAATATGCTTTTATTTTTTAAAAGATAATAGTTAAAATAAAAACATGAAATAAAAAAATATACCTAAGAGTTTTAGTTTGGGAAATGATGCCATAACATGTTCAATTCTCTAATTTGTCTTTCTCAGAAAGTGAACACAGACACATAAACACATACAGACACATACACACACACTCTCATGAAAGCTTCTACTCATCTTGTTTGATCTGCTGTACAGAAATTATGCATGCTCACCACTAGAAGAGTTGTCAATTAAATTAAAGTGACATTTTGCACCTTTGGCTCTGACAAGAATATGCAAAATATCCAAGTTCACTTCCTAACTCTTTAAATAAAGAGAAACATGTATATCATCTAAGATTTAAAAAAAATAGGAAGTGTTGTGATCTAGTTAAAAGAATAAATTATTTTTAAAAAGCTTATAACTTTTATTCTAATCTGAGGCTGTACAGGTAACTTTATACATAGAAAATAATTCTTTTTGGAATTTAAGTGCTACTGAAATATAAAAAACACAAGATAATTATGATTTTAAAAAAGCCCAATTAATACAAATTGTGAAAAACAATTTCACAGCAAATAGTCTTTAATTTATATACATTTAAATGTCCTACATCACTCAAGAGTTTTAAAAATAAGCTTTAGTGAACAAGAGAAAATATAAATGAACTGGAAATGTCATACAATGTGCATAGTTGCAGCACACAAAAAAGTCTATTTGGTTAACGTCTATAATAGAAATCTCACTTGAAGAAAACACTATTATTGTTCTATTGTCTTAAAAATCCACTAATATGCATTACACCTTAACATACCTAAAAACTGTTGATGATGTTGACTTTGGGCAATTACAGTTTGTTCAACAGATGTGCCTGTCTGTTGACCACTTCCTGTGAAACCATCTGCAACCCCATCCACTTTCTGCATAGGCTTGTACCTAAAAATATTAGATGGGAAAAAATAAATAAACCAAATTATTCCTTGCTTTTTTGTACTGCACAAAACTCCCAAGGCATTCAATTTTATCCTGTCTTCTTTAATGTTTTATGATAGTTTAGGATTCTTTTCCCTTGACAGTCTCAGAAAGCTAAAATAAAGATTCAATTGTGAAAAGAAAAAAGGGTGAGGAAGAAGACCCATTTTTGAAAATTCAGAAATCTACCTAAGAAAGAGTTATGAGGCATTTGTTTGGACACCAACGGCAAAGATGTTCATGGTCATAGTTTTAATGATTTGAATATAAGTTTTAATGGCCAATGGGTCAAGGTAGAAACACTTTAAATATGTTGAGATTGTAATCTAAACAAAGATCTAGGAGGTAGGGCCTGAGAAATGTTGATAAATGGCTTTCAATTTATTAATATCTATAAATCGGCCTATCAAATCTACCGTATCTTTTATAACTTCCCAAGCATCTCAACACATTCGTCTCCTTTAACTCTTCTCCATATCTGCAAATAGAAAAACCCTAAGTATCAGCTTGCAGCAAAACACATGCAAGAATCCATCTATAAGCCTAGTTTACCAAATTAAGAAAAAGGAAGGAAAAAAAAAGTCACCTACAGTTATGTATTTATCTTTAGGTCCTAGTCACACAAACTCATGAACTTTGCATACTACTAAAGAAGACAAAAAATATATTTCACTGCATTTGGAATGTAAGTAAATATATATGAATGTATGGTGAATGCATGAATCAATGCTTAGAGTAACATATTTCATTTTATATACTATTAATTGATCTTAACATATATCAAATCAATGTAACAAACATTCATTGAGCATATACTATAGGTATAATGTTTAGGGGCATGGATTTAAGAAGGCTGTATATAAATAGAACTTTTCCAGCACAATTTTTTATAATTACAAATTATAAAATATATATTAAAATGTATATATATTAAATATATATATTATAAAAATATATTAAAAACTAGGCAATCCTGCTAGGATAAACAGTACAAAATAAGAAATAAACATCAGCCCTAGCTGCTTTGGCTCAGTGGATAGAGCGTTGGCCTGCTGACTGAAGGGTCCCAGTTCAATTCCGGTCAAAGGCACATGCCCATGTTGCAGGCTCGATCCCAAGTAGGGGCTGTACAGGAGGCAACCAATCAATGATCCTCTCTCATCATTTGTTTCTGTCTCTCTCTCCATCTATCTCCCTCTCTGAAACCTAGAAATATATTTTAAAAAAGAAAGCATCAACTATAATTTTTCTTTTCCAATATTTTTTAAGATTCAACTTATTTTATTTCATTAATTTAGAAAAATTGAGAGTTATGTCCTAGAGATACCATCATTCACTTTAAGATGTCTGTCCCTCCATTCTTTTTTCCTCTCGTTTCTAATTATACTATAAACAAAACCACCTCCAGACACTCAACTCTTACATTAATACCATAAGGCAAGTGGATCATTAATATGAATTATTGTGACTGACGATGTCCATAATACATGAACAGGATCAACTCAAAGATGGCTGGACTCATAGCAGATACAGAATGAATAGTCCTGGTGAAACATCATACAAACTAAGGCTTTAGTTGCCTTAAAGAATGATTCAATCTTGAATACTATTAATTATAAATTAGATAAATGAAACTTCAAAGAAAAATTGCAGTCACTCATAATAATATTTATTTTTATTTTTAAAATGACAAAAATAAAGCCAGAAGATGAACAGAGTGAAAAAAGGGTACAGCACTTCACCACTGTTATCACTTGAGTGATGACTCCACATCACCAAAATGTTGGTTGCTATTTTCTAACGACTAAAAGAACTCAAACATGATATTTTATTTAATGGAAAAATCATCAGAAAGTACTTTTCAATTGGTTCACACCAAGAAATGGCAGAAGGGATAGTACTGCGATGTTTTAGAAATGTTGTTTATGAAAAATAAATTATATTTTTCATTTTCCTCTTTAAAAATTGTCTTAGCAGGGCAAAAAATCTTTCAGAGGCAAATACTTTGAGTACCAAATTTTCCAGCATATAAGACGACCCCCTAATTTTACAGTTAAAACATAGGTTTAGGCCTATATTTGCTGTATAAGACTACCCCCCACTTCCGAGGCAACACCAGTTCTTTTTATTAATAGACCGCCTCTCTAACTCAGCCAATCCAAGCAGGCTTTTTATGCATGCAAATTATACATGTTCTGTACCCGAAGCTACACTGTGTTTTAGTAAAAAGCCTGCTCAGATTGGCCAGAGTCAGAGAGGTGGTCTATTAAAAAAAGAATTGGTGTTGCCTTATACAGCGAATATAGGCCTAAACCTATGTTTTAGCTGTAAAATTAGGGGGTCATTTTATACGCCGGGAAATACGGTACTTCTGTGGGAGAGTTGCTAACCATTCATTCTGTCTAGAAAATTTGAATTATTTTATTATTAAATAAATTTAACAAAGTTTCCTGTCCTCATTGATCCATGTCAGGTGTTATTTGATTTTATCATCCTTTTATCAGCTATGAAATTTTATATTTTATATAAAATAGGCTAAAATTGCTTAATCATGTTTCTTCATTTAAGTTAATTAAGTATGACATTCACAAAGTTAATAAACAAAAATGTTAAAGGAATTTGAATGATTTACACTGAAGAATAGAAAATGGAAATGTTTCCTATAGAAGTCAATATATTAAAATTTGAAATTAGTGAGTAATTATGAGATTTTTCAAAGCGATGCTTCATCAAATTTCCTTTGTCCTTCACAAATACTTAATGGGCACAAATATCAAGAACAAGTAGAATTTCACCATAAAAGGAAATTACACATTTCTTTCAGTCTGTGAGTTTTCAGAGAATGGATGCTATGTCACAACCTTCTTGCACATAGTACTTAGCAAGCCTGCAAGCTTACAAGTAAAATTATCTGCTCCCTTAGAAAAATGTAGACATGAACCTTCCTAAGGGGAAGAAAGATTATATTTTTAACAAGTACTCAAAATCATAATTCAATTAATTAATGCATCATTATATTAATACTTAATAATAATGATATGAGAGGGAAGCATTGATTATATGTACAGTGTATTACACAGCAGATGAAAAATGCATCAATATTAGCTTATGAAGAAAAAAGAAAATTAGTAAATTCTGGAGAAATGTTGCAGATCAGTACTTAAATACATAACTTATATAGGAGATGTGAAGAAAAAAAAAGAAAATAGAACTGAGAAATTAGTGATTTTACTCTAATCATAAAATTAAGGGTAGCCAGGTAAATAGTGGATTAAATGGATCAGGCAAAGATGCACTATGTGAATCCATTCTTGGTTACTCTATTGATAGGCTCTATAACCCAGAACCTTAGGTTGTACTTCCTCAGAGAAAGGTATAAGGACAAGCGTGGGAGGGGTCTGTGCTATAAAGAGTGACATCAAGAAGCACAGGAATATGGCTCATGTACAAGAGCAGTATTAGTGGGAGCTAAATATGAGAGAGCTTCCAGGTAGTGCTAACTTTAGCTTTTCCTGCTTTGTGTTAACTATTAAATCATGTGGTATAACAGTGTAGTGTCTGGCATTGCATTGGTACTTAGTAGGAATCCCAGGAAATCACAAATATTAGACGGAGGAAAGCTACATGGTCATATTTCTGATGCTCTAAGAAAAAAAAAATCTTATCCCTGCCATCACCTCAGAGGGTTGGGTCTTCCCAGAGAAAGATGTAGTTTAACAGAAAGTAAAAAATAGGAACATTAAAAATAGGCTAACCAAATATTCATGGTAACTGATTTTGCTTGGAAGAAACAGTTATAGATATTACTAGAGGCCTGGTGCATGAATTCTTGCACCAGTGGGGTCCCTCGGCCTGGCCTGCGGGATTGGGCTGAAACCAGCTCTCTGACATTCCCCAATGGGTCCCAGATTGTAAGAGGGAACCTGCCAGGCCGAGGGGCCCTATCAGTGCACAGGGCTGGGGAGGGACACAAGGGGTTAGCCAGTCGGGGAGGGACCGGGGGAGGGCTCCAGGACATGTCCGGCCCATCTTGCTCAGTCCCAATCAGCAGGACCCCAGCGGCAAGCTAACCTACTGGTTGGAGCATCTGCCCCGTGGAGTTCAGTGCACATCATAGTGACTGGTCAACCAGTCAACTGTCTGCCCCTGGTGATCCTTGAACGTAATAACAAGCAGTTGAGTGGCCTTAGCATATCATTAGCATCTTACACTTTGATTGGTTGAAAGGATGACCAGATGACCAGACCCTTAGCATATTAGGCTTTTATCATATAGGATAGGATATTAGGTATGTCAGTATCTGTGCTGACATTCAAATGCTAAATTCATCCTAGGTCAACCCAACAAAATCTTGGGAATGGGGTTTAGGATTTGATTATTTTAACAAGTTCTGAGACTTCTCTTAAGGAGCCTGCACAGCACCAGTCCATAGGAGAGTCTTGGCCTGATACAAATTCCTTCAGCCAACTTTTGTAGAAGTATGTCGCTAACATTAGAGCTAAGCCATTTTTTTTTTAAAATAAATGTCATCAGGTTTCAATAAACTTTATTTGGAATGTAAATAAATATATCTGAATGTATGGTGAATGTATAAATGAATGCTCAGAGTAACATATTTCCTTTTACATACTATTAATTGATTTTAACATATATCAAACCAATGTAACAAACATTCATTGAGCATTTACTATAGGCATCGCGCTTAGGGGCATAGATTTGAAAAGGCTGCATATAAATAGAACTTTTCCAGCACAATTTTTTATAATCTATTGATTTACATGATAATTCAATATTCTCTTAACTCTGATTGAATTTCAACTGACATCTTAGGATTGAAACAATATTTTTCAGAATTCCTGCCTCTACCCTCTTCATAAAATTATCACTATTTAAATTCTAAACTGTAAAAACCAGAGATACTTTTTACTGAAAAAAAACCCACAACAAAACACAAAAACTTGAAT